TCAAGGTGAACATATACGCACGACTCCGGCATCTTAAGGGCCATGGGTGGTCGTCTGTGCCAGCGTGCTCGTGTGTTGCCCAACAACAAGGAAGTAAGACCTCTGTGACTAGATTTAAGATAACCCCTTCATTGCGTTCTTCTGGGAAACTGTGGCAGTGCCTCTGTGACTTTGTGCTCAACATGGAGTCACCTCACAAATATGACGGTATGTACTTGCGCCTTATGGATTATGATATTTAACTGGCGATTATACCCGTGAAGATCCGGGTTAGAATTGATCTTCAGTAACCCATGCCTGTCGTAAGAGGCGACTAACGGGATCGGGTGGTCAGGCTCGATGACTTGGTTGACACATGTCATCGTGTCCCAATTGCGTTGATTGATGCTCATGCTGTTGATTGTCTGGTCCAGACTCGATTATTTACAGACCGCCGCCATATAGCTGGAATATTGCTGACTGCAGCAATAAACAACAAAGAAACTGTCGATATATTTCTGCATGCAGCAGTATTTACGGGTTTATTCCCCTAATACTATCAACTATATCATTACATTCCACATAACTATTGTGCGTACTGACTTATGTAATTCAATCACCACATTTCAAATTGTTAACTGTTCTAAAACAGATAACCCCATTGGGTCATTAGAGCAGTGAGGACTCTATTTTAACTTCTTTGAGTGGCACTTTGAGGTTGGTGTTTTGAACAACGAGGAGAGTTCTGACAGACAGCCAGACAGACAGACAGGTTTATTCGGTAATTTAGGCCCAAGGCCCATAATACATACATTTGGCAAAAGTAAATACATACTGAGTAAAGCTAAGTAAAGTTTAGTATTGATTTGTTTTACAGTTATTCATTCCTTCTACGGCGAACTTGTGAAAGATATTTACTCAATGATTTTAAAATATGTATATTGTCCGATGACAACAATCGGATGAAGGTTTCAATTGTCGGTGGTTGAGTCAGATGTATTGATAAACAATCAGATCTTTGTTGGGAATATTTTGGACATATTAATAAAATATTGAGTTCATCTTCGATGTAATCAAGGCCATCAGCATGACAAAAGAGGCAGAGACGTTCATTATACGGGGTGTTTGTATGACGGCCACATTCCACTGCGAGTCTGAAGTTACAGCACCGAAACTGAGTTATGATTTTACGTTGATTTGGTAGCAATTCACTGGTTAAATATGGTTCGACGCTTAGAGATGATTTAAATTGTGAATAGTATTTACATTTGGGTGACGAAAATAGTGATACATGCCAGTCTTGAGTGAAGCAGTCATAGAATCTCTGTTTAATGAATGTGGATATACAGCCAATGTCTTGAGATATCCATAAGAAACCAAATCCATATTGGAATAATATCAGCCTAATATGAGAAGCCCATGTTGTTTTACTATTATCGTCGAGAGTTTTCATCATTAGATATGCCTGATAAGGAAGTCTGTTTCGTGGAAGTTGTATCAGTCTGCACCAGTACTTGACTGCTCTTGAGATATATTGATACTGGAGGGAGCTCTCCCACACTCTCCCAGAACCATGTTGTTGTTGGTAGTTTTACTAACTTTAAGAAATGACTTGCAAAATCTGGTGTGCACAGTTTCAATAATTTTACAGTAGCTTGTTTCCCATATTTCAGATCCGTATTGGTATTGGTGCAATCATAGAGGGGAGTTCTATGGGATATACAACTTCTTTGTTCATTTATTCTTTATGTGGATTATTAACAAAGAAGTTGTATATCCATAGAACTTGCCTCGCTGTTTGTAACTCTATCGTAGTCCTGGGATTACACAACCCGAGCAAACTTCTTGTCGCTGAAACTTCACATTCTTCATATTCTCATCAAAACCAAAAACGTTTAGAAGATAATGAAAATGTGGATATTGTTTATTCATGAATAATCAATTAAAATGCTTGATCGAACGGTGATATTTACATGTTCGATAATTGGATAGTGCACAAGCGCAACATTTTAGCAATTGTTTTAAGGCTGCACGATTTTGTCTTGGAAAGGGAAAGGTTAAAGGACATGTAAATGCTTGTTGTAATAGCCAGGTGCAGTGACAACGTTTGTGTCAACATTTTGTGACAAGTTTGTCGACTGTTTTGAAGTGGAAAAACGCCTAGAGTGAATGTTGCCAATGGCAACACCGATATACGACGTCTTTTAGTTGAAAAGTCCCAGCCTGCAGATGTTTGTCATTCAAACGTAGACCAATTTCTCATTTATGGGATTGGTATACTTCAGCACGAGATTGACCCAAATGGCAGATCAAGAGTCACCTCCCCTGCATCCGGGCTCTTTCACCTGCGTCAACAGGCTACCTCAGCCGAGACTGTAGGACGTGCGTCAGGTCTGAGGAGGGAATTCGGCGAAATAATCAGGACTGGTCCTCGATAGGTGGGAATTAAATTCAGAAAACGGGGTATTTGCCCCGGTCTTGGGACGTTTGCATCGACGACAACATATACGATGGAGAAACAACATACAGACACCGGCGAAGACTCGGGTTAAGTGATTAATCTCACTTTGTTCTCCAAGTCTGAAGTCGAAATAAACAAGTTTCTCTGATCTGCGTCGACAGATTCGGTGGCCGACGGGTGATGGTGTCGGGAACCAAATCCTACACACTCACATACTCTGTGCTCAATAAGGTTTACAATAAGTTACAATTATAAATATGAGTGTGATCCCACCCTCACCCGAGTCTCTCCAGAAGTATCTCAACTTTGGCTCAAGTCGGGTCACCGGTTGAATGCCAATCCTTGCAGCAAGCCTCTGGCGTCCTTAATATATGCTGTGTCAAACTGGTATATGGACAATCTCCTAACACATCCGTGTATAGTTTTTAAGTTGACCTGACTGAAAGTAAACATCGATCCACATAACCGGGATACCATGGCAGGTATCAACCAAGTCATTCAGTCTTATCAATGATCCATTTAATCGCTTCTTAAACAAGCATGGATTGCTAGGGACCTGACCTGTATGTAGGCTACGTCATCCGTCGTAACCACCAGACACCACAAAACCTACGGAAGGCCACAAGAACCATGTCATTTTATGAAAATGCACACATGGACCACCGTTTTTCTGCAAAATGCAAACCTACTAGATTATTTAAAATTTCAAAAAAAAAATGGAAATATCGAATCAGGAATAAGTCATTCCCCAAATTTGCTCACTGACGGTTCAGCAATGATATTTCCTTTCCAGTTGATGACCATGACCTTCATACAGTCATCTATATCCTGTTTTTGTCAACAAAGATTGATTCTAAATGTAAATTTAATCAACAAAAGATCATTTTCTTCTGTATGTCTGATGTTTTTTATACAGATTTCTCCTTTGTTAACCGAAAACATCACACCGCCTGCTTTGCCGGAAGTGAACCGTCTGAACTGACCCTTCACCTCCAGAAACATACCCCGGATCCCTTCACGGTCCCCGCCTCAGCACGTGACGTTGTTAAGGTCAAGGACTGCAAGATATCCAAGGAGAATGTTCTGCTCCTCTGCCAGACAGCGCGAGTCTACTGTAACTCATACATCAAGACGGCTACACGAAAAAGGCTCGATAAAAGAATTGAAGGTAGTTGCTATATCATGTCCATAGTATCTTAGCCTGCTCCGTCAAAGGTTGGTTTGTTTCTTTGTTGTTTAACGCCGCACTAAGCAATTTTCTAGCTATATGACGGCAGTCTGTAAAAATCGAGTCTGGAGCAGACAATCAAATGACATCATGTGCGTCCATCAACCCAACTTGGATACGATGAAATGCATCAACTAAGACTGACTACTATACCCCGCGTCATTCTATACAAATTCATATATTGCCCATTTGACCCACGCAGAGTTTGTCTGCATCATGGTTTGCTAAAAACAAGACCTCCTGCCATATATTCGTCAAAGACCCACGTTCGTACCCCTATATAGGTTCAAACAAGAAATAGCCATCGATTGTGATGAACGGGTATCATTGTTTCATCTTTGGATCTTACATTTGCTGGGGCGGTAGGGTGGCCTAGTGGTTAAAACATTCCCTTGTCACGTCTGAGATCTGGGTTCAATTCCCCACATGGGTACAATGTGTGAAGCCCATTTCTGGTGTCCCACGCCGATATATTGCTGGAATATTGCTAAAAGCGGCGTAAAACCCAACTCACTCACCTACTCACCAGTGCGTCTGTGACTGAATACAGGAGGAAAAAATGTATTTCTTTAAATATCATTATAGATAGAGTCGCTGTGAAGATGTAAGATGCGTAGAAACCTGTGCTGTGCCTTTTGCATTTTCTTCTTTATGCCATCTGTATCTTCACAGGTCCGAAACATCCAAGTGAGCTTCAGAGTCTCTTTTTGTATTCTCAGATGTAACATCGAGGAGAAGAGCAAAGCGCTCGGAGTCTAAACTGATACCTCTGGAAGGATACGAGCCGTCTTCGCAAAGACGAAATTCACCATCCCCAAGGTCACATTCACCATCACCAAAGAGGCATTCACCGCCACGAAGGAAATATTCACCGTCACCAAGGAGACATTCACCGTCACCAAGGAGACATGTTCCAACAAGAGGGCATCTATCTCGAAAGAGGTATCCATGGCTTCATATCTTAAAAATGTTCCCATTAACTCCCTGACGTTATAGAAGCTGTTGTCATGGTTTCAGAAACCTGTTGATATCAGTAACTGATCTATTTTTATTACACTCTTCAAAAAAAAAGAAAAAAAAAGAAACGCATAGGTGATTTTTAGAATATTGGACTCATGTAGCTGCGACAGGAACAATACAAATATTCTATTTCTTTCCAAAACGTCATCTTTGTGTGATTGTAAACAGCTTCAGCGCCAAAACGCGGCAATTTTAACGTTCCCCCTTATTTTAGAAGCGTTTGAAGAAATATTCGCTCAAACGTCATCAAGAAAACATTCAAAGTAAAATGCACGTGCACGTAAGCGGAAAATCATGTGGTATCGATCACTATAAACAGGCAAACGTTGTATCTCTTTTTGTCATTCCATTTTGCCTGGAAAAGAGCATCATATCTCGCCTTTGGGATCGTTTCCTCCAGACCAATTCCGCCCAAGATCGCCCCAGAAGCGGCCGTCTAAGAGTTACAACCAATGCCCAGGAACGTTACATCCGGGCTGATCACTTGCGTCATCGTGTTGCCACAGCCGTGGAGAGTGCACAACGCATCCCTGGTTCTAGACTAACAACTAGTCTCTGAAATGAACATATTTTACTGAAAAATGTTCATAGTAAAAAAATAAAATATAATGAAAAGGAGCCCTGAGACTTTCTTCATTTTCAGAAGCTGAGGAAATCTTACCACATTTTCTAGACTTGGCTCGGCTTTCTTGGATATTTTTGCTTCAGGGTCTGTACCCTGACTGCCTGGTTCTTAAAGAATTTCCGACCAAACTGTCAGGAATTGATTGCATAAAGTGGGATTCGACCAAGAAGGCCAGTTGTTGCTCCTGTTTTGAGAGACTTATATCGGCGCAATCGCTTGCGATGGTGTCGTAAAGTCCGGAACTGGAACCTTCGAAATTGGACGCAAGTCTGCTTCAGTGATGGATCACGATTTCTTTTTCACAGGCGAGATGGAAGACAGCGTGTTTACCGTCATTCTCTTCCCACAGAGGTTACTTGTCATATCTTCCTACGAACCTCTGTTCTAATACGGCCATATTTCCCGGTTCTCGTAAAATCCCCTAGCGGCAAAAGATCGCAACATGAATTATCTCCCTTCTTTCTATCCAATCAGAACACGTGTTACATCGACTTAGATTCAACTTGACTAACACAAGCAAATGTTAGGCCACAAATATCCCCCATCTGCCGGGGACTTGTGTTGATGTTACACACAAGACGTTTAATGGCTAGCGTGTCTGTTGTCAACGAGGGCGATGGTGACGCCACTGATCCGCCATAACATGACTGAGTTCTGTCTAGAAGAAACGTTTGCGCATCGCGCAGGGGGAAGAGGTTTAGTTTTCTCGAAGCATACGGAAATTACCGAGGCCTTGCGAATGATCACTTTTGAAACAACACCGCTGATTGCATAACTAAATCTGATTGCCTCCAATCACGAGTCTTGAACGCTCACACCATGAAAGGGCCGTATTAGAACAGAGGTTACGTAGGAAGATATGACAGGAGTAACCTCTGTGGGAAGAAAATGGATTACCGTCGGAGAAATGAACATTTTGCCCCTAATTACATTCGACAGGTCGACAGATTCGTTGGAGGAAGTGTCATGGTGTGAGGAGCGATATCCAGGACACAAAGATCTGATTTAGTGGTGGTTCAGGGAAATTTGACAGCAAATCGGTACATCAACGAAGTCCTTGTACGTCAAGTGCTTCCGATTATGGACCGACAGAGGGAGTTGTTCCAGCAAGAAAACACCACATCACATACAGCACGCGTCACGGTCCGCTACCTTGTCAATTCTAACGTCAATGTCTTACCATGGCCTTCTCGATCACCAGATCTAAACGCCTATGGCAATGAACTCGATCGACGTGTACGTCAACGTCACATCACGCCTGAGGCACTTCCACAACTGGTCATCCTGATGCAGGAAGAATACTGCAAGAGCGACTTCGTCGACGTATCTAGTCTGTGCCGAGCAGTAATTGCTGCCAATGGTGGTCATACAAAGTACTGACTTTGACGTCATCGTGTTGACTCAAGTAATCAGAAACACAACAATAAAGGCGGCTGTTGTGTTAGCGAACTCTTTGTCTATAGACGCGTGCATTTTCACCTTTTGAATGCCATTGAAATTGCATTAAATAATTGCTCTTAAATTAACGCAATATATTCTTCTAAACATGGCTTATGCGTTTCTTTTTTAAAGAGTGTATTAAGTTAGTCTTTGTTGATACAGATATTTGCCTATTTATCATATCTTCTTCGTTCATACTGGATGTGTAATTTCACTCAATAGAGCAGCTCTATAAATCACGTATGAACACAATGTTGAACCGTCCAATTTATCATATTGGGCGAGATCATAAGGCGCCATGGTTATCGGCATGCTTCGGCGACTCAGCAGAAAACGCTGAAGTATATTTGGATCATTAGACATAGTTTATTCAGAAAGGACTGGAGGCATCGCGTGGATAGGCAAAACCTGAAAGTACATGTAGTTTGACATAGGCAATCTTAGTTAAGCACCTCATGACATATCTCACGATTGAATGAGCCCCGATCTAAACCCTTTGGAGCATACATAGGACATGATTGGCCGTCGTGTGCAACAAAGGGATCCTCCTGTATAGAACTGGCCCAATTAGCAGCTGCTTTACACGGGGAATGGCGTAGACTGACCCTTTAGAGGACCAGGAGGATGACGGGGGGTATAAGGAGGAGAGAGCTGGCTGTCATACAGTCACATGGAGGTTACACTCGGTATTGACCTTGAATCGTGTAAGACACGCAAAATAACATTTTGAATGTTCACATTCACCAATAAATTCAACATTAAACATTCCAGGGCCATACTTGTACAGACATGATTTTGTATGAAAATCAGTGTTCTTTTAAAATGAGCAATTATCATCATAAAATCAACATGGATTCCAATCATTTGTCGTTTTTTATGAGCCAAAGGGTCAGAAAACCTCTTGTTTTTCCATCGTAGTCACCACGAGATGTTTTGAGTTCGTGTTGAAAACCTATCATTGCAAACGTACAGGGGGTGCTTAATTAAGTTCTTTGTGTATACATCACGACAGACTTTTGTCATGACAACACCGTCATTGATACTATCAGCAACAATCAATGCTGTCGGAAGACGTTGACAAGTCATCGGTCCATCATGTTGCTTCTAACCAACACGGGATGATTGGATCGCGTCTAATCCAGAATCTCCACAGGGATCATGTCAAGCATTCTCTGGCGTGTACTGTTACTATTACTTCAGTATTCATCAATATATAATACAGTTTTCAGGTCTACAACAATTGACGACTGGTTTACAAATTGTTTCAGATCGACGTCCCAGCCAACGAAGTCTAATGCAACAAGGGAACCAAACAATGAACCGCTCAACCCATACCGAGTTCTGCCTAATATCCATTCCAACAGGAAGTTATCTACAGAGTTATCTCCCCATGATCGTGAATCCTCAAGGTCATCCAGCGAAAAGCGTAACACTGAAAATCAAGCATCGACTAAATACGACAAGTACCAATCTCAGCATTCACAAAATGGAAAATCAGTCAATACCCGTTCAACAAAAGAAAACGTGAGATCTGAAGGAGACAACAGGGATAATACCTTCATAGCTGAGACAAAGTACAAGAGGACGGTGACCTATGGTAGTAAGGAAGATGAAAAGCGATTCAGTGAGTAGATAACCACGGTATTCCTTTTAAGAATTAATAGAGAATAGTGGTCTGGGGTGTAAAAAATTGAAACACGTCTACCGGAGGTATAGCAAGATGAATTTGTACCGTAAGGGCACATACATGTACACAGCTGACCAAGTCATTGTCTAAATTGACGCAAATCGCTGTGCAGAGTTCCCTCCCATAGAGGTGGGAGTGAAATATGTGATGGGTTATCGAATCCTTGGTGGCAGATATTTTCAGGGCCATCACCGTGGACCTGGGTTTCAAATGTTGTGTAAGTTCAATGCTCACATTACATTAGCCTCATAAACATAACATTATTCCTACAAGAAATAATAAAAATAATAATAATAATAATAATGGATAGCATTTATATAGCGTAAATCTCCGCAAAGGACTCTTTGCGCTTGCTTTGTTTTTCCCTCGTTCACTGGATGTCAATCTCAACGGCACATCGTATTGTCAATCTCAACTCCCTGGGGATCATACAACTCTTGCAGCAACTAGGCGCACCGAGTTATTGTGGCATTCCCATCCTTACGAGGTACCCATTCAAAGCTGGGTGGACTAGGACACATAGTCACAGTACTTTGTCCATGTTTACTGCACCTTGCTGTACCCGCAACTGGGTGTTTGCACGTATTCATGTGGCCACCATCTGGTCATATACCAACGGATTCGTGGGTTCTTTTAAGTGCACAGGGTTGTGTACTGTACACTAGAGGTTGAAAGAAAGCAGTTAGTAGTGAGAGTTAGCGCGTGTAAGTGAACGTGTGTTGTGTTAAGTGAGTGAGTATGTGAGTACGCCACTTTTAGCAATATTCCAGCAATATCACGGCGGGGGACATCAGACATGGGCTTCCACAATGTTGTGTTAAGGGCAGTACAAAGTTAATGCGTTCGTACGTCACGCTGTAGCGTCAAGTTTGGTTCCCTAAATGGGTGCCTGGGGTGGTGTTGCTAGAATATTTCTAAAAGCAGTGTAAAACCATTTCACTCGAAGAATAGTCCTCGCCGATTCTAGATATTAGGAATACAATACAACGGAACTCCTGTGGGTCCTGACTGAATTATTTTGCAATCTGCTTTTCTGTCAAGTCACCAGGTGTATTAATATATTTATATATGTACTTTCTATGCATCTTTGTATCGGTCTGTGTCAGTGTTTTAAAAATATTAATTGTATTTTTGTTTAAGCCAATGATTAATCTTCCATTTTCCAGATGCGAAGCGTGGCCATGATTCGGAGGACGATTACTCGGATAATGAGTAGATGCAGTATGTGTTCAAGAAGAAATCTACATGACCTCTACATGACCTCACTCTGGTGATGTGACTAGATTGATATGATGAGCATGTACATTCAATAAATCTACATAATGACATCATCATCTTTCTATCTCTCCCATGAGCACCCGTGGTAGAGTAGAGCCTAATGGTTAGACTTCCCACATTGGAACAATGTGTGAAAGCCCATTTCTGGTGTGCCCCGCCGTGATATTGTTTGAATATTGCTAAAGCGGGTAAAACCATACTCCCTCACTCACTCCAAGCATGTCTTAGCGCAATAAGAAATAGAATTGGTCTTCAGCAACCCATGCTTGTCGCAAGACGCGACAAACGGGATTGCAGAGAAACACTTTGCTCTGATGCATGTCATCGTGTCCCATTTGCGTAGATCGATGCTCATGATGTCAATCACTAGATTGTCTGGTCCATACTCGAATATTTAGAAACTGCCCCCATAGCTGGACTGACTGAGTTTGGTTTTACGCCGCTTTTAGCAATATTCCAGCAACATCACGGCGGGGAACACCAGAAATGGGCTTCACACATTGTACCCATGTGGGGATTCGATCCCGGGTCTTCGGCGTGACGAGCCAACGCTTTAACCACTAGGCTACCCCACCGCCCCACCCCCATAGCTGGAACATTGCTGAGTTAAAAAACAAGTTTCATTTCCATAGCCTTCGGACACCGTGGGTTGTATGTCCACTGAGATACCATACCGTAGTGTTAAATGAATACTCCATTCAGAGGAGGGAGCCCAGCCGTCCAGTCCTTGACAAACCCCTTTAATGCGCCAGAAAGGGTGACAATCTGTTTAACTTCTTGTCACGCCGCACTGAAGCTCTATCCGCTAGACCATGGAGGCAGTATGCGATAATGAATGTCTTTCAGCTGATGCACATATTCTGACTGAGAATGGTTCCGTACATTTGACTCTTTTGAATGTTTGGACCATCTGTATGTACAGAAGTGTGACGTAAATAAACTATTGTCTGTCTGTCTGTGACGAAAATCTTTGCTGTTCTAGAATCTTAAGTACTACATTTGACTAAATATAAAATTAAATATAGCAGTGAGCACTAACCTGTACAAAGGTTTGGGTTCACACATTGTACCCATATGGGGAATCGAACCCAGGTCTTCTGCGTGACGAGCGAACTCTTTAACTTCAAGGTTACCACCTGCGCCCCGAAGCAGAGGCCATATACCGGTATATGCTCTCTCTGTTCCGAAGTAACCAGTGAAGATTCAGATCATTGGCAATCTGCTCGTCGTCATCGGGCGATTAGGCTTGTCGACACGATTCGGTGCATGCATTGTATCTAAACTGCGTAGGTCAATTCTCCTGATGTCAGTCACTGGATTGTCTGGCCCGGATTTGATCATTACCGACATATGACTGGAATATTCCTGATTTCCCCCCAAGAACACAAAAACAATTATGTGAAGTAACGGGCTTACCTCAATCTGAAGGCATTGCTCGATGGACATTGAGGGACGTTTCGAATCCTTGTCAACTTTGAGTGAGTGAGTGTAGTTTTACGCCGCTTTTAGCAACATTCCAGCAATATCACGACGGGGGACACGAGTAATGGGCTACACACTTGTCAACTTAAAAGTTTTAAACAGAGTGACAGTACTTTATTAGGATAACATAGGGGTCTTGTATATTCTGACATGCAGTTTTACGCCGCAATGTGCGATAATTTTTATTTTTAAGGAATGGAGAGTTACCAGGATATTATCCTACTTAAATTACATTCAAAGCATTGGTAAAATTTCTGTTATCAAAATTAAATGTAAAAATGACAAAATGAAGTCTTAAATTTGAAACTGGTACACAGGGTATTCACGATAAGGGATAGGGCGCATATTTGTGCATGTACTGCAGACACTGTTTTAGTTTTGTCCTAGTTTATACCTGATGCATGCATCCACGTGTTTAGCTAATTACCCGCGTTAGTAATATCGTAGCAGTGTTAGGACGCTCCGTTATAATAACGTGTACATCCCGTGGAGTTTCGGAGATGATCCATCAATCCAATTAAACATTCAATAAAGCGTTAGTTTTCTATCTTAAAATATCATATTACAAACAAATGTACTAGTCAAATGGTCATCTTTATTCTATAACCATGATATAACTCTCAAACATTTCCTCTATTGCATGAACTTCACGGGACACAGCGAACTGGATGAGGTTGAAATCTGAAATAAACCAGACAAAACCGTTACACACTTTCTACAGGACCTCATAGCATGAATAATCGTGATATAACTTGATTCGATCTTTTTGTGCCAGGGATTGAGATGACTTAACGTTATGGTCACATCTGGCCAGTCACTATTAACGTTATGGTCACATCTGGCCAGTCACTATTAACGTTATGGCCACATCTGGCCAGTCACTATTGACGTTATGGTCACATCTGGCCAGTCACTATTAACGTTATGGTCACATCTGGCCAGTCACTATTAACGTTATGGCCACATCTGGCCAGTCACTATTAACGTTATGGTCACATCTGGCCAGTCACTATTAACGTTATGGTCACATCTGGCCAGTCACTATTAACGTTATGGTCACATCTGGCCAGTCACTATTAACGTCATGGTCACATCTGGCCAGTCACTATTAACGTCATGGTCACATCTGGCCAGTCACTATTAACGTTATGGTCACATCTGGCCAGTCACTATTAACGTTATGGCCACATCCGGCCAGTCACTATTAACGTTATGGCCACATCTGGCCAGTCACTATTGACGTTATGGTCACATCTGGTCATTCACTATTGACGTTATGGTCACATCTGGCCAGTCACATTATGCCTGTATAACCTACATAATCATATATACTCATGCCAATAATGGTTGTCACCCCCTTCAATATTTTTAATTGGAGAGGGGGTGTGGGGTTGGGGTGTGAGGTGTGTGTGGGGTTGGGGTGGGGAAGGGGATGACAACCATTATTGGCATGAGTATATTACAATGTTTGTTTGTTGTTCAACGTTGCAGCTATATGGCGCCAGCTGGTGGATAATCGAGTCTTGACTCTGACAATCCAGTGGTCGATATTAAGAGCACCGATGTACACTGTCGAGGGCACGGTGACCCGCAATGAACCAAGTCACGGAGCTTCACCCGACGTCCATTTAGTATCATGTTACCGCCAACGTAGGCTGCTAAATGCCCATTCTAACCCCAACTTAACTTCATTAAAAGGGAAAATATGCCCCAAATTAAGTCTTTTTGAGATTGACCTTCACCCACTTGAGACGGAGGAAAACACAAATACTGTTGTGTCGAAGTTAAAGGGACCTGCCCAACTACTTCGAGTTATCCGAGGTTAGGCAGAAACGCCAAATGATGACTAAAGAAGGAATACTCAGGGGCCCATCCTTTACTTCGAGATAACCCTACGGTTGACACATCAAGCTTCGACACAAAAGTATTTGACTGTATGAAGTGAACATTGGACAAGAGCGTGAAATGTTATCTTAACGTAATGTTGACGACTATTCACTTACATACTGGCATGCCGCGTGGTTTGTGAATGTGTTGTGTGCGTGTGCGCGTGCGTTGCGATAAATACTGTTTTCATACTGCTAGCCCACCGAGTCCCCATACTGCTCGACGTTAAAATATGGTACTTGTTGGTCCTTGCCTGGCGCTCGGCATTAATGGGTACAACAAGGACTGGTCGGCTCGGAGTCAGTATACTGTGTCTGAGTGGGGTATTCATGCTTCACTGCGGCGTGGTATCTCAGTGGGCTAGCACTATAAAACCAGCTTCAGTCTGGGCTAGTACAGGCAGCCGCACATACACATACACACGCATGCACGTCGTCATATGAGCGAAATATTCTCAAGCACGACGTTAAACCCAATTTCACCTCACCTAACCCCCATACTGCTGTTTAACATGGGTACCCTACTGAGACAGTGTTCTGACCCTGAACTGAGCAGCCATTGTTTTATCCCCACAATGCCGAATACCAGGTAAGGTTACACACGCTATAGTACCCGTGAAGATCCTGGTTAGAATTGGTCTTCAGCAACATATGCTTGTAACAGGCGACTAACGGGATCGGATGGTGAGGCTCGCTGACTTGGTTGACACATGTCATCGGTTCCCAGTTGTGTAGATCGATGATCAAGTGCCTGTTCGATTATTGCGAAACTGGTTTTGGTTTTTGAAACTGGTTTCTCCTGTTATAAACGAGTGTCTAGTTTCGGATACATGGTTTCAAAGTGAAAGTAGTTTCTAGTTTTATAAACGAGTGGATGGTTTCACCATCCGGTTTCAAAATGGATACAAAAAACATGTCTCAGCTACTGTATATGTGGAACGAATTGGATGACAGCATATGTTTTTCATTTTATCAGTGAATTAGCGAATAACAGAGATGAGATGCTTTTGGAAGTAAATATTTGCGTATATGTAATTATACTGTTACAAGTAATTATATATGCAAGTTACATAAAATAGTCCTGTTCAATAGACTGGGGCTTTAAATAATAGTCTCCTAGTACTCAGTTGATTTTTATCATTATTTTGGTTCCAAAAACTGCTGCTCCATTTTGCCACCAAGATCAGCTGACCTTGGCGCTTTCGTTTCCGCCATGTTTGTTGTGAGAGAATGCGAAACCTGCCTCGGAGATGGTTTTGAAGTTTCAGAACCCCGTTTTAGGTTTCGACATAATCGAGTGCATGGTTTTCCCGAAACCAAAACCGGTTTAGCATAATCGAATAGGCCCTAAGCTATTGATCATTGGATTGTCTGGTCTAGGTTCGATTATACCTGCTATATTGCCGAATGCGGGGGTCAAACAAGTAACAAACAAAATACAAGCGTTATTTGTTTACAAGCGTGTTTTGGTATGATGTCAATGGGGTTCAAACCACACACCTTCTGCGCTCAAGGGGGCGGTGGGGTAGCCTTGTGGTTAAAGCGTTGGCTCGTCACGCCGAGGACCCGGGTTCGAATCCCCACATGGGTACAATGTGTGAAGCCCATTTCTGGTGTCCCCCGCCGTGATGTTGCTGGAATATTGCTAAAAGCGGCGTAAAACCAAAACTCAGTCAGTCAGTCAGTCTGCGCTCAAGGTGGACGCTCTATCCACTACACCACTGAGGCTGTCTATGATCGGGACATGGGTAATTAGAAACACACTCACCTCAAACACATGCGCCATTGCTGCACATTTTGTTGAATCTGGCACACTGATTGTTGTTACTACAGGCTGCAAGCACACCAAATGTCGATGTCACCAATATTATTAGATATAAAATAGTTGTGAGCATTTAAAGTTTGCCAATCAGTTATTTACATACGTCACACCAACACCACTTCATTAAACTCCATCAGAGTCACTTTGTTTCCAATGGTATGGCCTGACACCGACAGAATACCAGATATGCGTCATACGGTTCCTGCTTAAAGGTTGTTTGATGAAGGTTGCAATATACAAGGCCCAGGAGAGCTTTAAAGATGTTTTACGGTACACATGTGGCGGCCATTTTTAAATTGAACACATCAGTGACAAAAAGTATAAACAAGACAGGTTCTCTATTTGACTTAAACCATAATTATAATCCCGTGTTCTTAAAGAATGAGTGTTTGAGGTCTTTCGTTTTTGGTAATTTTGGTTAACTTAATTGCTTTTGTATCTTCTTATGACGGTTGATAGGGGCCGGATGTGCTCACTATTTTACAAACACCCGGTGTTGCACTATTTGACAGTGATTTATGAATACATGATCATGATAAGGTCGAACTGTAGGCTACTCAGGACTCGGCTTTTATTTCTTGGAATTATTGAAAGCTTTTGTCGCATTATTTATTCAAATATGGCTCATACTTCCGTTGTTGGTTATTCAGTGAAAGTGAAATTCTACTAATTACTAACTACGTGATCAATGTGCTCACCTGGTAGACACCTTCCTCCGCGACAGACTTGGTCGGGGGGACACGGTCCTGATTGACACCCGGTGTCTGTGTGACAAGAAGAAAACCCTTTACAAGCACATGCACCAAGTGCTATCATTCAGATCATGGAAAACTGGTCTTTAACTGGCATTTATATGTCAAAGTACTATCGGTTGGCAGAAGTCACTGAGTGAATATTGTTTGACGCTTCAGTCAGCATAATTGCAGCTGTAGCGGTCTGAATCAGACAAACCCGTGACCGATGGTATGAGCAACGGCCCCAGTTGTCGGGTTACGATGACACAAAGAATCCAAGTCATAGAGCGCCACCACTCTGCTCCGTTATACGGACCTCGTTATATGCAGGGGAGATGATAAATAAGTGTTTTCTTACTGAACACTACACCAGCTTGGACACTAGACAGTGTCATGGCGGCGATCAATACAGTCATCACAAGCAGGCAAGTCTTCATTTTGTCTGAAATCTAAAAAAAACCAGTGTTGGTAAGCATTAATGTCCGTGTAATCAATCGGGTGCAAAATGTTAACAGACATTTGAAGAAAACACCATAAGCATTAGTATTATCATTGGACTGACTGACTGAGTTCTGTTTTACGCCGTTTTTAGCAATACTCCAGCAACATCACGGCGGGGAACATCAGAAATGGGCTTCACACATTGTACCCATGTGGGGATTCGAACCCGGGTCTTCGGCGTGACGAGACAACGCTTTAACCACTAGGCTGCCCCACCACCCCTTATCATTGGAAGTACTAGTAGTAATAGTAATAGTAAAGAAACAGTAGCAGCAGCAGAGGTAATGGCAGTAGCAGTAGCAATTCCTTATATACTGAGAGAAATAAATAAAGGATCACAGGAATATGCAAGCATTCCTTTATTATTTTTCAGTTTTCATCGCCACAGCGCTGGTGATGAAAACTGGAAAATATTAAAGGAACGCTTGAATTGTCCTGTGATCCTTTATTAATTTCTCTCAGTATATATGTGCCATTAGTATAAGTAAGACGTCAACAAACTGGAAGCCAACTGGAGGTTTATAAACTGTATTACAAGACACCTGGTGACCGAGACACGTGTGAGTGGGTCATGCTACATACTGTTGTACGATGGCGGTTTGGAGTCAAGGTCACTATCACAATACATTACTATGACGTTGAATATTAACTCACCCACTCACAATACATTACAGTAAATCTTGTAAATCAGGTGATGTACATGGTATATGAAGCGAGTGTTGTTTTACGGGCCTGTCCTGTACAAGATCGAGCCTGGATCAGGTAAACCAACAACCGCGGCGTGAGATGGCAGACAGTCAACCAGGTCCCACCAACCAGTTCATCCTTTAATACCGCCGCCATATAGCTGGAATATTGCTGAGAGCGGTGTAAAACTAAACTCACTCACTCATCCTTTAAATCAGCTCATTCTATAAACACTGATTGTTGTAGATCTTGTTCTGCCCTGGCACCAACGCGGGATTGAATTGTTTGTATGCCTTATGTGAATTTGTCGTTTAACACAGTACTCAGAAATATTCAAGCTCGACAGCCATCAGTAAATATTGGAGTTCAACCAATCCAATGATCGACATCATGAGCATAGATTTGCGTTGCAATAGCGTGTATTGGCCTAGACAGGGAACCTGACAACGCAATCCAGTTGCGACGAGCATGGTTCGCTGAAAACGTATTTTAACCAACTGGGGCATGTTAAAAAATATGTGGTTGTTAGAATTATGCGGGATGTATCAAACATTCGCTGATAGATAGACAAAGGAAAGGCAGCTGTATTAAACGCTCAGAACAAATATGATGACTACAAGACATTTTAAGATACAAATGGGTTCAAAATATTTTTGTAACAAAACTTAAAACTCTGTAAGCAGGAGACACCCATGTTTCATCAGGTATTACGACCAGCCAACAAACCGCTTACCTTGATGTGCCTAGGTATCTGTCTGGAGCGACGGGTAGACGTGATGGCGACATCAAGAGCTGCCCTGTACTTATACCCTGTCTTAACAAGAGCTCCTTTCTCATATGTCGCTTTAAACAATATCTCGGAGGGGGCACCCGAAATGAGCTTCATGGAAATATATTATAATAGGATGGAACAAAACGAAGCGAATTAATAATGTCACTAACATTATCTTCCTACTTTTTTAACCATTTTCTCCAGTAAAGGTATATCATGTATTGATAGAAAGCTCATTATATTACAATACCCATGTTTCTATAAACACTATACTCGGCTTATGTACTCAGACAACATCTCATTGCCCAGTTTGATATGAAGTACTGGCACTTTCATTTCATTTGATGCGCATGATAGCATATACATATAGTGCATATTGGAAATAGTCAAATCCCGATGAGTCGAATGCCGGTGTCTCGAATATTATGCATAACTCGAAGTACCTGTCGGTCCCGACCATTCCCTGTTATAGTTGTCATCATTTGATTTCCGGTTACACGAATTCGTCTCATAAATACACACGATGATTCGAGAAGGAACTTTGGTCCCATGAGATTCAAACAACAGAAATCTTGTATACATAAACCGAAGTCAGTCAATGAGAAGTTGATTGGTGTAGCAAACTGATCCAATTAAGAAACCAGCGCGGCTCACACCAGATAAGTCGAATTTATTACTTGGTCCCCAGCGATTCGACTCATCAGGATTTGACTGTATACCGGACATACGAGTAATGTTCTCACATCAGTATTCTGCCAATTTAACATTAAAACTGATAGAGTGGCCATCATGTCATCATTAATACGTGAGATAGGATCTCTTGTTTAGACACAGGTATAAATACAAGGCAGTTCTTAATGCCAGTATCGCCTTCATCATACGCTGTGTGCCTACGTGTTAAATGAATGGGTTTAATGTGTTCAGAGTTTCATTTCAAAAGTGTATCTCCAAATATTTCAACGTGTTTCGTTGGAAAAATTATTTAGTTGTTGCGAAATCCAAGAATAGCTCAGATCGACCATACGATGACCTTCGGAGACAGGAATTGGTTGCTAGGACCTACCATAACCGGAATCCCAGACTACATCTTCTACGTGAGTGAGTGAGTTGGGTTTTACGCCCGGAAACGGGCTTCACACTTTGTACCCATGTGGGGATTCGAACCTGGGTTTTCAAACGTGACGAGTGAGCACTTTAATCACTAGGCTACCCCATTGTCTCCTAATCTTGAAATAAGAATTTGTGATAAACTTGGAATGTTACAACGTGAAGCAGCAAGAATTGTAACCGGATTGACTAAATTCGCTTCAAGATGTAGTTTATACAGTGAAACTGGTTGGTTGCCATTGAAAGTTAGACGAACACAAAGAAAACTCTGTACATTCTACCAAATTGTTAATATGCAAGCTGCTTATTACCTGATAGATTTACTTCCACCTTTTACTGAAACCATTTCCGGATATAACTTGCGTAACAAATCAGATTTGGCTGTTCCTAAATTTCTCACCTCAATTCTCCAAGTCATTTATTTATGATTCTGCAAGTTTATGGAATGCTCTCTCACCTACAACAACATGTACCAATTCATTATCATCGTTTAAATCAAGGTTATCTGGAAAAACTGACAAGGTTCCCAAGTATTTTCTCTTTGGTGAAAGACAGACAAATATACCACACACGAAGTTAAGACAGTCGTGTAGTTCATTACCTGCAGATCTGTTTCGTGTTAATCTATCAGAGAGCAGAGCTTGCAATTCTGGTGCTCCGGTGGACGATGCTAACCATTTCTTTTTAAAATGTCCAAAATTTGTCAGTTGCCGTTTTGATCTGAAGCAAGACTTTGAACTATCAAACGTTCACTTAGACATTGATACCATTCTTTACGGCAACCCTGCTCTGCCAAATACTATTAATGAAAATATATTTAGACATGTGCATAAATACATTGTACGAAGTAAACGCTTCGATAAATCGATAATATGTCTTAATATTATAATGTCCATTCATTATTGACCGCCTCCGTGGTGTAGTGGTGAGAGCGTCCGCCCGGAGAACGGAAGATCGCGGATTCGATCCCCGACCGCGTCATACCAAAAGACGTTCAAATATGGTACTTGTTGGCGCTCGGCATTAATGGGTACAACAAGGACTGGTCGGCTCGGAGTCAGTATAATGTGTCTGAGTGGGGTATTCATGCTTCACTGCGGCGTGGTATCTCAGTGGGCTGGCACTATAAAACCAGCTTAAGTCTGGGCTAGTACAAGCAGCCGCACATACACATACACACGCATGCACGTCGTCATATGAGCGAAATATTCCCAAGCACGACGTGAACCCCAATTTCACCTCACCTCACCTCACCATTCATTATTGTTCATGTTTCTGACGGGAGCGGGTGGCAATAAGTTACATAACTTGTGCCCAATCCATTTCATCACTGAATAAAATATTTTCAAACAAAGTCTTGAAATGGTTCCCTCAACGTATTCGTTATGGAACGGTTCCCTAGAGTAAGGTTTTGTCTACATAGCATTGCTACATAAACTAACCGAAATAAGACTCAACTTTTTAAATGTGTAGGGGTTTCTTCATCGTACATGTTTAATCGTACTGATTTCAAAACTCTAAATAATAACTTTTTAAACTTCTAAAACCAACAAAATGTCAATAATTAACTTGTGTACAGTGCGTTTTTGTACACTGGATATTGAGCAATGTCACCATTAAAATTACCACCAGACCGCTTGATCCATTTTGTCATTTTTCAAAACAAGCATTGAGTCACAGCCGGCTTGTATGTTGTATAACACGAGGAGTGTGGAATATTTTAGGGTTTTACTCCCCAAAACAAAACCTTCATGTGAACTCGAACATGTGAAGTCTAACTATTTGGTTTATCTAGCCTTATGTGCTGGAAAAAGCAAAGTTATCACATAATCTGTATTCTAAGTTACACAAAGAAATAAAAACGAATTAATGAACATATGAATCTTCCTGGGGAAAGGCAGGTAAGTCCAGTTTCCGTCCCTTGCCAAATTATGCAGGAATTTTGTAGCTGGATCTCAGCTGCCACCACAAGCTAGTATGTGAGCAGGGAGAATAGAAGAATACCCTGGTATGAGTTATGTCCTTCTACAGATTTGTTTTGTTTTTGCTCAAAAACAGGCAGATCTCAGTGAAAAGATTTGAGAAATATCTGTCCACGCTTAGCTGATACAAATATATACTGCTGCAAATCCTACAATTAAAGGAATTCTCAGTTGCGAGGTTGTTTATGAACCAGATGTAGATTTCAATCTGACTGGACTATTCGGTGATTCTTGAGTCCAGCCAAAATATAACGCCACAATTCCAGCCTAGTTCAACAAGATTGAAAACTTGACTTTTTGAGTCAGTAAACTCCCTTGCCAGATTTCAGCTCTGGAAACAATCCTTACCATCATTTGAAGTCTAATTTGCCCAGCAAACAAACGCACACGCATGCATGCACGCACGCACACACAAGGTTTTAAGAAATCCAAAATAAAAAGCAGTATCAGTTCAGTGCCTCACTGTTATATATTTAGTGGTTCTGAAGTCCAGCTCCAGAAACGAAACGAAATGGGATGAATGGTTCTATATCAGGATATAGTCTATAGTCATCAGTCAGTCAGATCATCAGCTGTAGTTTTCCGCAAGAGCCTGTAAATATTCAAGTCTGACTCTGACCAATCAGCAATTGTAATAAGAGTGAGTGAGTGAGTTGGGTTTAAATGTTGTCTTCAAGCTACATCATAACCTGTCATGGGATTAACGATATAAGTAATGCAGATCTCTGATGTTTACCATTTTGGTGAAACCCACTAACACAGGTAAGATGCTGATCGGTTTCTGGTATGCCCAGTAGGTGAAATCGTGATTGAACCCACTGTTATCAGTTTCTGGTATGCCCGAGGGATGAAATCGTGATTTGAACCCACTGTTGTCGGTTTCTGGTATGCCCGAGGGATGAAATCGTGATTTGAGCCCGCTGATGTCGGTTTCTGGTATGCCCGAGGGATGAAATCGTGATCTGAACCCACTGTTGTCGGTTTCTGGTATGCCCGAGGGATGAAATCGTGATTTGAGCCCACTGTTATCGGTTTCTGGTATGGCCAAGAGATGAAATCGTGATTTGAACCCGCTGATGTCGGTTTCTGGTATGCCCGAGGGATGAAATCGTGATTTGAGCTCACTGTGATCGGTTTCTGGTATGCCCAGTAGATGAAATCGTGATTTGAGCCCTCTGTTATCGGTTTCTGGTATGGCCAAGGAATGAAGTCGGGATTTGAGCCCACTATTATTGGTTTCTGGTATGCCCGAGGGATGAAATCGTGATTTGAACCCACTGTTATCGGTTTTTAGTATGCCCGAGGGATGAAATCGTGATTTGAACCCTCTGTTATCGGTTTCTGGTATGCCGAAGGGATGAAATCTGGATTTGAACCCACTGTTACTGGTTTCTGGTATGCCTGAGGGATGAAATCGGGATTTGAACCAACTGTTATCGGTTTCTGGTATGCCCGTGGGATGAAATCATGATTTGAACCCACTGTTATCAGTTCTGGTATGCCCGAGGGATGAAATCGTGATTTGAACCCACTGTTATCGGTTTCTGGTATGCCCGAGGGATGAAATCGTGATTTGAACCCACTGTTATCGGTTTCTGGTATGCCCGAGTGATGAAATCGGGATTTGAACCCATCGTTATCGGTTTCTGGTATGCCGGAGGGATGAAATTGTGATTTGAACCCACTGTTACTGGTTTCTAGTATGCCCGGGGGATGAAATCGTGATTTGAACCCACTGTTATCGGTTTCTGGTATGCCAAATAGATAAAATCGTGATTTGAACCCTTTGTTATCGGTTTCTGGTATGCCAAATAGATGAAATCGTGATTTGAACCCACTGTTATCGGTTTCTGTTATTTCCGAGGGATGAAATCATGATTTGAACCCACTGTTACCGGTTTCTGGTATGCCTGAGGGATGAAATCGTGATTTTAACCCACTGTTATCGGTTTTTGGTATGCCAAATAGATGAAATCGTGATTTGAACCCTCTGTTATCGATTTCTGTTATTCCGAGGGATGAAATCGGATTTTAACCCACTGTTACCGGTTTCTGGTATGCCCAAGGGATGAAATCGTGATTTTAACCCACTGTTATCGGTTTTTGGTATGCCAAATAGATGAAATCGGATTTGAACCCACTGTTATCGGTTTCTGGTATGCCGGGATGAAATCGGGATTTGAACCCACTGTTATCGGTTTCTGGTATGCCCAAGGGATGAAATCGGGATTTGAACCCACTGTTATCGGTTTCTGGTATGCCCGAGGGATGAAATCAGGATTTGAACCCACTGTTATCGGATTTCTGGTATGCCCGAGGGATGAAATCATGATTTGAACCCACTGTTATCGGTTTCTGGTATGCCCGAGGGATGAAATCGGGATTTGAACCCACTGTTATCGGTTTCTGGTATGTCCGAGGGATGAACTGGTTATTTGAACCCACTAATACATGTTATTGTTATGCCCAATAGATGAAATCAGGATTTGAATCATTATATGTTTCTGGAATGATAATTGTGGTGCCTTAAGTGTAGAGGTGTGACGATACAGAAATTTCACGATACGATACATATCGCGATATCTTGGAACGATACGATTCGATTCGATGCATATCACGATATGCTTTCTTTAGTTATTTTCTTTAAAAAAATCATATTTTAAAAGAAAGAAATATTGACATAACCGTCAATATCTAATGAAAATTAACAATTTTAAGGTCAACGATACATATCACGATACGAAAAACTATCGATATATTTATCGTCAGACAAAGTATCACGAATATCGATACTACGATATATCGTCACAGCTCTACTTAAGTGACAGGGCCATGGGATACGATACGCAGACCAAAGTCTGACTACCACATGCAATGGAGTCATTTCTTAACAAAAATAAACGAGCTAAGGATCTTATCTAAGCTGGGTCTATACAGGTTGAAAATCACAGTCAAACATCAGGGATGTAGGTACCTAGTACTCCAAACTCATTTGGCAGACAATTTGAGATTTATTTTTTATTTTGTGCAAAACAGGAATAAAAACCCATCAATGATTCCTAACTTCAGAGTTAGTTTAACATGGTATTTTAACATTGCAGTGCGTGAGTGAGTTGGTGTTTTTTCAATATTCCAGCAATATCACGGCGGGGGACACCATAAATGAGTTTCACACATTGTGCCCATGTGGGGATTCGAACCCGGGTCGTCAGCGTGACGAGCTAATGCTTTAACCATTACGCTACCCCACCGCCCCTTTTCAGATTGCACTAAATGCAATAATGTAAAACCAAGCGTTAAAGACTCTCTATATATTGTTCATTATCTGTGAAATACAAGTCACCTCAAATAAGCCTTCCATTAGGTATAACCATAACAAAACATGAACTGCGGAATCTTTAATTCCACATTACAACTTTTTTCTGACATTTGCAGCAGAATATCAGCATGTGATATGATGTAGATAAATCCCTGTATATGCCTGCTTCCAAACTTGCGGGCGATAGTTTCCTGATGTGCATCTCACAGCCTTGACATTGACTGATTACGTCACCTCATGTTTAACAAAGTGTTCTGACACTGGTTCTGGAAGATTGTCGCTGCCTCTGTCAGTACATGTTAAATTTTGTAAAGTGTCAGTGTGGTGTGGTAGTTCTTTCTTGATGATGACACAACTCTGAGATACCGACAGACAACTGCATCCATCATCACTATCTTCTGATTGTCTTCACATTTATCCTGATCACTGCTGGAAATATGTTCAAAAGCAGAGTGTCGTTCCAGCTTGATTACAACACTCTCGGATAGCAAAATACCAATATCACCTGTATCACTACTCTGTTTCACATGGTTATTACAATACGCTCCACTTCAGGAACATGTTCCTCAGGAGTATAAAAAGCAGAGTATCGTTGTTGCTTGATGAGAACACTCCGGGATACTGACAAACAACTCTCACCTGCATCACTAGTTTGTTTGACATGATTATCAGAATACACTCCACATTCACCAACATGTTCCTCAGGAGTATGAAAAGCAGAGTGTAGTTCCTGCTTGATCACAACACTCTGAAACTCTGACATACCACTCTCACCTGAATCACTAGTCTGTTTCACATGGTTATTAAAATACGCTCCACCTTCATAAAGACGTTCCTTGGGAGAGTCAAAAGCAGAGAGTCGTTCTTCCTTAATGACAATGCTCTGGGACTCTGACATACAACTTTCACCTGTATCACTAGTCTGTTTCACATGGTTATCAGGAGTGTCAAAAGAGAGTTGTTCTTGCTTGATGACAACACTCTGGGATACCGACATACCACTATCACCCTGTATCACTAGTCTGTTTCACACGGTTATCAGGAGTGTCAAAAGAGAGTTGTTCTTGCTTGATGACAACACTCTGGGATACCGACATACCACTATCTCACTAGTCTGTTTCACATGGTTATCAGAGTGTCAAAGAGGGTTGTTCTTGCTTGATGACAACACTCTGGGATACCGACATGGGATACCGACAGGAGTGTCAAAAAGAGTTGTTCTTAAGCTTGATGACAACACCTGGGATACCGACATACCACTATCAATTCAGTATCACTAGTCTGTTTCACATGGTTATCAGGAGTGTCAAAAGAGAGTTGTTCTTGCTTGATGACAACACTCTGGGATACCGACATACCACTATCACCTGTATCACTAGTCTGTTTCACATGGTTATCAGGAGTGTCAAAAGAGAGTTGTTCTTGCTTGATGACAACACTCTGGGATACCGACATACCACTATCACCCGTATCACTAGTCTGTTTCACATGGTTATCAGGAGTGTCAAAAGAGAGTTGTTCTTGCTTGATGACAACACTCTGGGATACCGACATACCACTGTCACCCGTATCACTAGTCTGTTTCACATGGTTATCAGGAGTGTCAAAAGAGAGTTGTTCTTGCTTGATGACAACACTCTGGGATACCGACATACCACTATCACCCGTATCACTGCAGTCCTTCATATGTTCTTGATGACTAGCCAAACAATTTTTGGAGACATGTTCCACTGACGTCTGAAACTCCTCTTGGGGTTCCTGCTTGATGACACAGCTCTGGGATAACGACTCATCACCATCTGTTCCTCCAGAACTCTCTTCGACTTCAGACCCAGGTTCATCAGTATCACATGACTCAGAATCTGAAAATTCTTGTTTCACAATACTATATTCATCACCCGACTCTGTAACAATTCTCTCAAAACCATTCTTCAAACAAACCTCCTCCTGAGTTTGGCACTGTTGAGAACTGTTTAGGTATTCATAATTTAGGTTTTCTAGTTCATTATTAAGGGGAAAACTCGTTTGAATGCTTTTATCATCAGTACTTAGTGGTCCAGTAACGGAAGTCCCCCTCTCTGGATCCTGTGTCTTTGGACCCTGTATCTCTGGACCTTGTATCCCTGGCTGAACAATTACACCATTGGGTACAGCTGACATGTCTAAGGAAACTGGCATCCTTGTCTGAACAACCACATTACTCACTACTGGCAAAGCGGCACCATTCTTACCACTTCCTGACACTGTGCTTCCCAACTCACAGTGCACCTGCAAAGGTCGAGGTAAGATTTTCGGCAATTCCTTTTTCACTGAGGTGATTGGTTGTAATGGCTGATGAGCAGTGGGCTTTCCAGTACGTGAAACCAAATCAACGCCTTGCTTTGCTGGTTGTATTGGCCTAGGAACAACAGGTCTAGTCTTTGATTTTCCTTGAAGTGACACCAAACCAATAACTGGATGAGCAGCTTGTTGAGTCTTTGTTATTCCTGTAGATGGAACAGAACCCGGGTCAACCACCGGGACTGTCTGTAATATAACAGGTGCTTTGCCAAGTGACACTGTCTCTGGCAGTTTGGGAACGGGATTCTGAATGACCAGTACAGGCTGCTTTTTGGGAAGAATACGTGAAAAATGTGCTGTCGATATTTCCTTATCAACTTTCATTTTCTGAAAATAGAAGAACTGTCATTAGCAACAGTGTTGTTTAAAAAATAACCCCATTTATCAACATAACTAAACACAACGTTTGAAATGAAGAGATTAAACTGAGAATTGACAATTTTCCTTTTATCCAACAATACTCATAGGGATTCCTATTTGGTTGAACACATGCTGTGAAACTTTTAATAAGGCATTCAAGGGGCGAGGCAAACAAGCATGATTTCTTGCTGCTTCTAGCAATATTTCAGCAATATCACAGCGAGGGACAGCAGAAATTATGGGCTTCACACATTCTACCCATGTGGGGACTAAAACCTGGGTCTTCGGCATGACGAGCGGATGCTTTAACCGATATGCTACCCCCCCTGTCCTGTACGGCGGACACGATTCACCGATACATCACAATACATTTAAGTCGTACAGCTATCATATCGTCGACTGGCGTATCGATACAAAACGATACATGACTTTTTTTCAAAACAGTATTATCTTAAACTATCTCAGTACTTATTTAGAGAAAAAATACGCAAGTATGATAGAGTTACTTGTTTGTTTATTACAATAGAGTTACTAGATAAATACCTTGAAATAAAACATTTTAAATCTTAATACTGTTTCATTCTTTCGAGGTGTATGCATCGTGATACATATCATATCGCAGGTAAAATATTGCGATACGTATTGTATCGTGACATAGTGTATCTTCCCAGCCCTACTGTCCTGGCTTTGAAGGGTTCCATGGTCTTATCTTAGTCACGTGAGACCAGTGAAGTGTATTTAAACTGAATGCATGATAGGTGACTACTCTGAAAAAAGCTGGATAATTCAAATTTTGGATCAGCTAGGTGTTCAGCCATTTAATTATGTTGATAATGGAGGATTTCTGTTCCAACATAAGAACAAAATGTTAATATGAAGCCAAGCACATGAATATTTATCAGCATAATGCTGATATTTTATGTAGCAATAATTATTTGGATTATTTTAAAATGTTCTTGGTACATACATGAATATCATGACACACAGAATCATAACTTCACATAACTGTTTAACACCTAAGAGACAACATGGCAGATTTAGCATTGAGGGTACATTCTTAAACTGACACTTGTATCACAACCAAGAAAAGAAAAAGCATATCTTCTTTCATCGTGGTGAATTTTCACTAGCTGTTTAATAGTTTTTGCCATATTCAGCACACAAACCAAAAATACATCATCATGAGCACTTCATGTTAAGTCAGAAGGTATTTTTTTCTGCGTGTGTTACATTACTCACAGATTACACAGCAGTATATATACGTCCATATTTGACTTGTAACGGTTTAAGATTCAGTGAAGATTCAGTTCTTAAACAAAGTTTCTTCTCTTACAATCAACTGAACTTTGCTTTAAATTTCCCCTTTCTCTTATCTAGTGACTAAGTTATCTATTACCAGTACATGTATACAAGCGAGTCCAGTAATTCCGCGTGTACAGTAATTCTGTGCAGCTGCAATAGCGTAATTCCGTATCGAAGGTAAACATCGTCTGCTACCACATTTACGCTTGAAATCGGGACATTTTTACAAGGGACTGGCTTTTAATCACTAAAGGTAAGTAAATAACAGTAATTGACAGATAAATTGACAGTTTTATGAAAATGTGTTTTCTTCAGACTTTTAAACCTTATATTATACCAATTGGATTTAATATGAAACACTCTTCCTTACATTGATGAAGTGATTTTGAAAATAATCAGGCCCTAATATGCCTCCATACTTCGGATCTCCAGCTGGATGTTATGCGCATCAGTTGCTGTGCAGAATTACCGGACAGCAAGCGATGTTGTCAGAACGCCGGTAAGGTCAACCGTATGGCATAATGCAACGTTAGAATCTTATAGACGTCAATAAAACTTATATTTCTAGGTAAATATGATGCATACCAGCATGTTTAGTCACGTAAACCACAAAAAAATAACAGACGTTAGTTGCCGTGTTGCGATCGATGTGCTTAGGTGCGCGTAATTACCGGACGGCAATGTACTTAAGTTCTATAGATAACCACTGTCAGGAAACATTTATAACCCCTGTATTTTTAACACCTGGATTACACTACTATTGATACATTACATTTAATGTTATAATGGTGACCGCCTCCGTGGTGTAGTGGTTAGAGCATCCACCCTGAGAGTGGAAGGTTACTACACAGGATCCTTACCTGGCCGTGTCACACCAAAAGACGTTAAGGTAAGACTTCCACCCGTATCTCAGTGAGCTAGCACTATAGATTCTAAACCCAGTTTGAGTCTGGGCTAGTACAAGCAGCCACACATACACACACATGCACATCGTCATATGAGTGGAATATTCTGAAGTCGGACGTTATACCCCACTGCACCTCAACTAGTATTATAATTAAACGTGATCAAAAACTGAAACTCTTCAAGAACTAGTTTATGCAGATTCTAGTAGTTCCTGTTTGGATATGAATCAGAGTCCCCAAGCCTATAATGCTAGGGGTGGGGTTGTTTTTTTTGTGCCATTCATATTGTACATGCTTCTCCATAAAAATCATCATCACCCCCTAGCCAAAAATTATTAACTATGAACGGTCTCTAAATAACATTCAGAGACGACATTTTCATTTGTTTATGGACTGTCTGTCTACAGGTCTTGCCTTTGGATTTGGAGGGAGCGCCAAGTCCAGGGGCGTCATTCCAAGAATACTGGAAGTAAAGCTTGCATCCACGTGGTCCATCCCAGTTGAGAGCATCTTCAGTTCACACATCAGATGAACCCTTTTTTCTTTCAGCCTGTCCAACAAGGTTGACAGATCCCTGTCAATTTTCACTAGACGATTGAGTTTGCTAACACAAGGATAACATACAAGTCCTGTTGCAGGGATTCCAATCTCGGTAATATATTTCCTGTATGGTTCGGATGGTTCAGAGACTAATGACCGATACATTTTATCTTTGACATATTCTTTACAAACAGTGCAAACTCTCTTTTGCGGCTTCCAGGTTTGAGATGGCGACGACATCTCCGCCATTTTTATTTATTACAATCTGAACGCCCTGATTGAATGTTGTATTCATTCACGGGTGCTCAACGACACAGCTTCAATCGGCGCTGCCCGACCATTTCGGAATGCGAAATTTCTGCAGTTACCTCCCTTCCACCAAGCATAGCAATGCGTGACACGGACTCTCAACGCACGGCCCATCTCCCCAAACAGTTTATGTGGTGCCATGAACTGAGCTTTCGTTTGTTCTCTGCAGATTTGTTGTATCAGTGACCAGATAACTGATATAAGGCCGATATAAGTACTGTTATTTAATCTTGTCTACATTTGTCAGGGAGCCAGTTATTTTATGTCTGGGGTTGCGACAAGTTACTTGTTTATGACAATGAATGTGGTGAAATGGATAAAATGACAAATTAAATAATAACTCAGTATCATATCAATGGTTGTAGAAAAAAACGTGAATAAAAATATTCAACGCTCGATGATTTAGTGCTAAAGAATGAGGACAATCTTTATGGATATACAACTTTTTATTCTGTATAGGCGGCGTTTCGACATAGAATCCAATATTGTTGTCAAGCAGGTGACGGCATTAGAATCTATGTCGAAACGTGGCCTATACAGAATAAAGAAGTTGTATATCCATAAAAATCGTCCTCATCTGAATCATCTCCTCAACTTCTAGAATGCGAATCAAAGAAGATTTAGTGCTAGCCAGTAACATTTCCTTTTACCATTCGGAAAAGGCTGAAACCAGCTTAAAAACACTTGGTTTTGAATGCACATCCAAAAAGCCCGAACTGTAGGTCAAACTTGATAATAAGAGGCGTTTCATGTATCCCATAGAAACTTTCATATTTATGGTCTCTGTTGATGGCAAGGACAAAAAATCATATTTCCAACCAATCCCAATGTTGTAAAGAAAAATATATCAAGTAGAGAGAGAATAGAAATCAAAACAAAATCTAATATTCTGATGAACTGAATACAAATATGCCATTGCGTCCAGTTGTGGCACTGGTGGTGCTTAAGTTGTCAATAACTTCCAAACATCTTTTTTATTCGGGAATGAGACAAAAAAGGATAAACAGAAAACAAGATTGTTGCACTTTATCTATCAACGTGTGTGTGTGTGTGTGTCTGTGCGTGCGTGTTCATGCATGCATCACATATTGTTGAATTCTACTAAAAAAATGCATTAAACCCCGCTTCTTGTTGATAAGAAATATATTATAGCATTGTGGGTGATGTGACTTTATGCAAGCAGGAACGCATACAAATACGGTGTCACCGGAACGACATGTAATGTTGAAGTTGGGTATTTTTCATCAATTTCACACTAGTACTCTTCATTATTGTGAAGTGCACGTATATCTTCTATTGGGGACCGCTAATAATTTATGGCTTGTGTGTGTGTGTGTGAGTGCTGCTGCTGATTTTAAGGGTGGGGGGTTACCCCTTTTGTTCTGGGGAGGTGGGGTGGTCATACATTTTGTACTTATGTACTAGGGGGTGTCAGTAATAAATTGTTGTTTACATACAAATATCAAATTATTATGCTTAAAATGATGAGAAGGTACGTGTGACAGAGGAATGAATGATTTTGCACATGACATACGGGGTGGTGGTCTGGAGTCACTTACTTTATACATAAATATTAGGGGGCCATTCACATTGTACATGCTTCTCCATACAAATCATCATCACCCACCCATCCCTAGCCATATATTATGAACGGTCCCTTGCCTTTAACTTCAATAAATCGGTCTTATTTGAAGAAAACAAAACACAAAGAAAAATACCTTCCAAACTGTTTCTTTCCTCATCGTGTCCTCCGTCGTGATATTGCTGGAATATTGCTAAAAGCGGCGTAAAAGTAAACTCACTCACTCACCACATACGATATCTCTATCTAATCCACTGTATCTCCAGGATCTTCAATTCGCTGTAGGTTTACCGAAATGTGAGTCCTGGCGATGCGTCCATTCATGCTTCTCACAAACCAAAAATGTCGAAAAGTAATTGGTTCAGCATAACCGCGTAAGTACCCAATTTTCGTAAAGCGAAAAAAAGCCCAGGATAACAGGGTGATGTTGCATGTGACACGCGGATATAAATATGGTATATTTTTCAGAAAAATGTTTTCTTTTGTTTTCCCCTTATTTATTAAATTTACATATTATATAATATTGATTTATGAGTAGATTCTTAAATGAAACATAGAAGTGTTGAAAAAGTAATCTTTCACATACAAATATCTTCTCTTCCAATGATCTTGACTCAAAAGGCAATAAGAAGCTCGACTCTTCATTTACAAATACAGATTATGTACTTTTGAGACGACCCCTTTAATGTTGTTTATGTGTAACCTCCCTTGAAACAAGTATTTTGTCGATAGATGGCGAAGGGGGGACAATCCTTATGGGTAAATATGTCTGCTAAATGTTTTGTTCTGTACATTTAGTTCGTTTTGCTGAACCAGTGATTTGAACAGCTGACCCTTAATTAGTGGAATTGTTCAAATAACAAATATATCAGCAAATACGTATTCTGTTCGAGGGTCCAATGTGTAGTAAGGTGTTATCGCTGACAACGAGATCAAGTTTAGGCACTCGTTTCGTTGTTATTCGCCGAGTCTACAGGTCTGTTGATGGCGTCTGCTCCAAAGTATCAGTGACTGGGATCAGTCCTTTGTTTAACTCTAATTAGTGCGGGAAATGAGCAGGAATGCGTAAAACAAAGGCCCTTCTCTCGCGAAAAATCGGACCAGCTTTTAGGTTGTTGAGGTACGAGTTACTTACCTTGGAAATCAGTCAGCATGAACTTGCTATCTGCAGTGACCAATACTATACTTGGGACATAGGCGCCCGACTCTAATATGTTTGTAAGTAAGATATATACTTATCTATATAAGATTTACAATTTTGAGTGACTTAGTGCAGGTGCTGTAAGATTCCAAAGCTGCACACAATTCTATTACAGAGTAATAGATAAGATTTAGCTTATGTGGGTAGTGTACCCACTGTATTTGTTTGGAGTGGGTATTATGAATGTTGAGTGGGTATTTCATTTTCTGTTACCCACTGCTTTCAAATATGTGCGTATTTCAGTCATTTTACTCACCTAAGTATTATGTCATTGAGTAAGTTTACTAAGCAGGTATGTTCTGCCTTATGTCATACCTAATCAAAACCAACTTAAATATAATGGAAATGATTTCATAAAAAATCACTCATCCTATACTAACAGTGCAACTTGATAGCAATTGAAGTCTTTATCATTAGGCAAGCGATTTTTATAAATATATTCTGTACGCATTTGTATTAAACTTTTTGCGTATCTAACATTTTAAATGCGTAATTGGTACGCAACAATTATTTTTCAATGCGTAATTGTAAATTTTCTATGCATATTTTACCCGGATATGCAGCTTATCTGGGCCTCTGCTATTAATAAAGAAAAGAAATTTGACATGGTGTTGATCTTATGGGGTTTATTTCGACCTACTCAGAGGTTCCAAGTTTCCACCCAAGTCTGCAGGAATGGTCAGTAAAATTGGGATAGAAACTTCAACAATTCATGTTGAGAAAATTGCATTTAATGTTATGGATTTTAGAGGTGGCTTGTTCAAGAAAATGAGAGGCTTTCATGTGTAGTTATTGCAAGGAGTGCTATGAGAAATTACCAAACTCTATTGAAAGGATGCTCAGAGCCAAGTATACCGGTAGGCTTGTTGTCACAATTTATTTGACACAGAACTGATTTATTCCTAAGCTATGTTTTCCTGTTTTAGGTACAAAATGGTGGATTCTGCTGACAAGATGAAAATTAAACAGGAAGTGCAAGATGTTCATGACAACATGGCAAATGCAGAGACACAAACAAGAGATGGGACAAGCCATGACAGTTTATCAAATGATGCAACAAGGGACAGGAGTACTGTCAATAAGACAGATAGAGGTACAGACAGCAGTCATCTCCATGATCGTCAAGAACAGGTTACGGACAAACACTCTTCCAGACAAAGTTTCACAGTCAGTGGGACAAATCAGATCATGTTGAATTCCCAGCAGTCAGTAGTGATGAGAAATGGCTTTACTCAGGAGAAAAACATCTCAGCCAGTGAAACAGATCACACCAGAATACCACAAAATTCAATAATAATGGCTGATAGGGAAATTGCAATTAAGTTGGAACGTTCAGACAATGAGGTAGAATCTGAATCCATTAAAGTTGAACAGTCTCAGTATCATGAGACTGGCGGAATGAATTCAGGTGATGTTTTCATGAGGTCTGATTCCTCATTTCCGTCAGAAGTGACGATTAAAGAGGAAGACGATCTTCAACAGGTAACAACCAATCAAGGGGAGAATGCGAACAAAACTCTCAACACAGGGTTCATTAATAAGCGAACCCGCGGCCTAGGAAAATAGGATCAGATCAGTTGTCTTCCCAGCTTCAGGAAAGGAAGCTGTCCTCTTCCAGTGTTGTCGTAATCACACCAGAAACAATAGGAACTGAAGTAGACTTAAACTCGGACAGAAGGATATTTTCACAAAGAGTCACATCACAGAGTGACCAATCAGATGAGCCGTTACTGAAGAAAATCAAACAAGAGCCATCCGACGACCCAGGGGTTCACATTATGCATAGCGTGAAACCATCACATGGTATTTTAAGATGTGTCTTTTGTGGGAGCAAATTTGCCCAGATTGTTCGATTCAGGCATCATATGAAAACGCATTGTGAACGAAAACCGTATTTGTGTGGAAAATGTGATAATGGCTACTACTTTCTCAAAGATCTCCATGATCACTTCAGAAACAGCCACTGGAAACAGGTGCAGTATTCATGTAGCGTCTGCAAGGAGTATGTCAGATCAGAACAAAAACTTGCTACCCATTTGACAAACTGTCACCCGACTGACCTGCTTTTTTGTGGGATCTGTGGTCTCGTGCCAAATACTGATCAGAACTTTCTAAATCATTTGCAAATTCATACAAACAAACCATCAGGAAAGTGTGGAGTGTGCTTGAAAGTGTATACTGAGTGCAGTGAGCTGGAATTACATCTGAAGCAGCATTTTGAGCAAGGACAGTACATGTGCACCAAGTGTAACCAAACTTTTAAGACTGCTGTAGAGTTTTCAAAACATGCAAAGCTTCATTGTGGGGTAAATCCCTTTCCTTGTGAGCAGTGTGGGCGCCGATTCCGAACCAAAATGGACCTACATGTGCACGTGTCCATCATGCACATCATGCACAGTCTCCACGTGTGTGAGTTGTGCAACACTAAATTTTCTGGGATACAGCAGCTAAAAAGCCACATGCATGTTCACACCACATATGAATGTAATTTCTGTGGAAATGTCTATAACAAAGATGAACATCTAAAATCACATATGAAAACACATACGGTAACTGTCCAGTATCTCTGATAGAAATTCTGGGGCGGTTGGTTAGCCTAGTAGTGGTTCGTTTGCTCGTCACGTTGAAGGCCTGGTTCGAATCCCCACATGGGTACAATGTGTGAAGCCCATTTCTGGTGTCCCCTGCTGTGATATTGCTGGAATATTGCTAAAGGCAGCGTAAAACCAAACTCACTCAGTGACCAGGGTTTTAACTTGACTTGCAAACATGGTTTTTTTGTGGACCACTTATTATTAGTTTTAGGTTTCCTTGCAGGTAATGTGAGGGTCCTGTGAAGTAATGATGAAGAGAACTGTATGTTTTGATAATTTCTTTACCGCCTCCGTGGTGTAGTGGTTAAAGCGTCCACCCGGAGAGCGGAAGGTCGCGGGTTCGATCCCCGACCACGTCATACCAAAAGACGTTAAAATATGGTACTTGTTGGTCCCTGCCTGGCACTCGGCATTAATGGGTACAACAAGGACTGGTCGGCTCGGAGTCAGTATTATGTGTCTGAGTGGGGTATTCATGCTTCACTGCGGCATGGTATCTCATTGGGCTAGCACTATAAAACCAACTTCAGTCTGGGCTAGTACAAGCAGCCGCACATACACACAGATGCACGTCGTCATATGAGCGAAATATTCTCAAGCACGACGTTAAACCCAAATTCACCACACCTAATAATTTCTTTGGAGCCTGGAATGAATCATTGTTCATATGGATGCTGGTGCATGTAACTGCATGAAAATGCATAATAAACTGACAGATAGAGGACATGTTGTTGTATGAAAGCATTTTGTCATGAGTATTATCTATCTGTAAGAGTCTTCAAGTTGATATCGATTTAACAGACTAAGTTATGACTACTGAAGTTTGTAAAATAATTATGTTCAGAAAAGGTCACAGTATATTTGCTTTTATGAATGACTACATCTTCATAAGGCATGCAGGGATTTACAGGACGCGAATTCTGCATCCTAGATGCATAAAAAATTGACAATGGACGCAACAAAATTTATTAGCGCGTCCACAGGGACTCAGAAAAAGTTCAAATACTTTTTGTAAAAGTAAGACCCGGGGTAGAACAGGTCTTCAGCAACCCATGCTTGCCACAAAAGGCGATTATGCTTGTCGTAAGAGGCGACTAACGGGATCAGGTGGCCAGGCTCGCTGACTTTGTTGACACATGTCATCGGTTCCCAATTGCGCAGATCGATGCTCATGTTGTTGATCAGTGGATTTTCTGGTCCAGACTCGATTATTTACAGACCGCCGCCATATAGCTGGAATATTGCTGAGTGCGGCGTAAAACTAAACTCACTCATTTCTGGTGCCCCCCTGCCGTGATGTTGCTGGAATATTGCTAAAACTAAAAGTGGCGTAAAACCAAACTCACTAAAGAGATTTTGGTATCAGCTGAGGGGCCATTATCATTGGTAAACATGTTCTACAGTGACAGCTGAAATATTGCTTGGTTATATTATATTTTGATGTGATCAGGATAAAATTTATTGGACCACCTGTACACAACCATGCAGCCAAAGTGGTGTTTCCAAAGTGAAAAATACACATTGATCAGTGAAATTTATTATTGTTGACGTTTTTGGTAATATTCTCATTATCTCTGTTCAGTGAAACTGGTCAGGTTTTAATCATGTTGTAACTGACATTGTTGTTTTAATGTTTGATTATTACAGTAAAAAATAACCTGTAGGGTAAAATAAGTTTAGCCATTTCATTTATGAGATACCTTGTCGTGTATTCATTTTTGTGGAAGCCATTTACCCAGTGTCATTTAGAATCCTGGTGTCTATTCTGTGTAATACTGCCAGTGTCAACTCACCTTACCCAATCCAAAATTCTGTAGACATGTGAGATGAATATTTGCAGAAATGGTGATTATCAATCACGAAAATATCAATGTTTTAGAGACTTGGCATTTGACAGAGGTTTGGCATTTATTCTTTTAACAGCACATATGATATGGAGTCCTTTTATCGTAGTCGCTACAAATTTTTGCCTCAAACTACGTCAATACGATTGTGCTAGAAATTCTACAAAATTTGAAGAAAATTAATTAAAATTCGGATATATAGACTAAAACATATATTTTCATTGATTAAATACATTTTCAGACTTCATTAACCTTCCATTCATCAATTTAATGACATATTTAAACTGGAATCATTGCAAGTAACAAAAGTAACTTTGGGGAAATTGTTTATCAGAAATCTGAAGTTCATTTCAATACCTTTGCGATTTGCCCCACTTATTGTGTACCGGCGGAATATGACGATCCTATCGGACCACTTATTGTGTACCGGCGGAATATGACGATCCTATCAGAATGATTTAACCATGTGACTGTTCCTTCCGTTCGGTTATACGAAATCAGTATGTGAAATTAAAGCTTCACTCTTGATTAGTGTCATATTGTCTTTCTGTCTACTTTTATGGTCAAACTACTGATTTTGATCCTTGAAACTGCTATTTGCAGCACTTTCGGTTGGCATCTCTGAAGCATGTATTGGAGTTCTGGCATACCGTGGAGGTCTAGCATGAACAGTATTGCAGTAATGTCATATTGCAGGGCTTGATTTAAGCTTTTTCAACTAGCACTGGTGCAGCCTGAAACTACAAAATGCAACCTCATATTTTGCGAACTTGCACCCAGTGCCTGTTACTGTTCCAGGGGTTGAAATAACTTTAAAATTGCTAGTGTACTCTGGTACATTGGCAAAGGAAAAATTACTTGCCCTGATAATCTTTCCTCTATACCAGCCGATTTTCCTGTTCATTGTTTAAATAAACAACATAATTGACATTGGAAAGTCAACTGGACACTGGTACGTGATATACAAATTTGCTTGCCCGACAGAAAGAAACACTGGACTGGGACATCTGGCAATGGGTTATCTCCATCCCTGCTGTTCATGTCAATGGTATGAAGAAAGATATAATGATTTTGACAGACCCAGAATAATTTTGATATCATAAAGTTCTAGTGCATCAATACCGAAACTCAAGCATTATATATATGATTTTATATGGAGCAATGGGTGCAACATGTTCTTCTTGTGCTACAAGGTTACTACATATGGTTGCACCAGGAGCAATTACATTTCATTTCCTTAAATAAAGCCTTGTAGTGTGTAAAGTATATGTGGGAAGAAAGTCTCACATGTATGAGTAATATGGAAGTTTTTGTTTAAAAACTGGCATGGATGAACATACAAGTTGTTCTATTTTCAAATTTCAAAGTTTTATTAAAGATTTGTGAATAATATAGCATGCACACATCTGTTATATACTGGTATGTATAAACTTCTTGACATTTGAAATGTTACTTGTTCAATAAAAGAATTCAACGATTAGTTTGTTAAATGTATTATATCTTTCCCATGCTAACAGGGGCAGTGGGGTAGCCTAGTGGTTAAAGTGTTCGCTCATCACACCATAGACCCAGGTCGGTTCCCACATGGGTACAATGTGTGAAGTCCATTTCTGGTGTCCCCTGCTGTGATACTGCTGTAATGTCACCTATTTCTTGCAATAAACATCAGTCCAGTAGGGCACCAATAGTGCTGATTTCACTAAGCAAAGGTAGTCCATTTCTTTGAAGTGATGGGAAGAACAATTATTGCCCAGGTCGAAGTTGGCAAATGCTGTTGATATCTTCAGTACAGGGTCTCTTTTATCCACTGGTTGTAAGTATGGTTTTATGCCTATTTCAGCAATGGTTCAGTGCCACTCTCTGCACAACTCCTGTCTAAATATAATCAAATGTGGACTGGACAATTCACTGACTGACATCATGAGCGCCGATCCATGTAATTGAGATGTGATGACTTGCTATTGCCCAATTCACAGAGCACCAGCATCCCATCCATTTTGTTTGTAGCCTCTTAAACAATGTATCTTGGGACCTACTAAGTCCTTACCTGGTAGCTGCTGAGTATATGTGAGTGAGCTGGGTAATAGGCTGCTTTTAGCAATATTCCAGCAATATCACTGCAGGGGAAAACCAGGATATTGTGTTATAGTAAGACCAGAAATTATTGAGAATTTAAGGAATATATTTAATTGGATTTCTAGTATAAACAACCTTGACCATCTATCAAGTGCTTAGTTTCATTCAAGAGAGACAACTCAGTTAATCCTTTTTCATTAGTTTGTGAAGAGTTATCCCCCTTTGTTTACTTGCTAGCAGACGACAATTTCAGTGATCCTCAGTATGGATGATTTAGAGAAGAAGAAGTTGATTTAAGAGAATTTTAAAATCAGATCAGCTAAAGTGATTTCAAGTAGAACAGGCATCCCTTTGTCCACTGTTTATCGTGTTTTGAAAAATATGGCAAATGGATATGGCATTGCGCACCAGGGAGGCGAAGTAGGCCCAGAAATTTGACTGTCGGTGACAGGAGGCGGCTTGGTATTCTTGTTTCTAAAAACAACGAAGGAGTTTAGAAAACTTAAGGCTGGATATGATTGATAGAGGAACTGTGGCTCAATCTTAAATTCTCAATAATTTCTGGTTGTACTGTACACATTGTACCCATGTAGAGGATCGAACCAGGGCCTTTGGCATGACGAGTGGACACTTTAACCACTAGGCTATCCCACTGACCTCTACAGTATATGTGTGAGTGAATAGTATGCTTACATAAAAGGGGATTGACAAGAAGCACCGCAAGTCAACTGAAGCTTAGGTTGCTGGGGAATTACCTTACTCTCAGACTAGGCCACTAACCTCAAGATCGGTGAAGATCTGGGTTTGAATTGAACTTCAGCAACCCATGCTTGGCGTAAGAGGAGATGAAAAAGATTGGGTGGTCATGTTCGCTGAATTGGTTGACATGTGTCGTATACTAATTCCGTTGATCGATGCTCATGCAATTGATCACTGGATTTTCTGGTCCAGACTCGATTATTTACAGACTGCAACCATATAGCTGGAATATTGCTGAGTTTGGCACTAAACTACAAAGAACAAACAAACAAAGAAAAAACCAACCTAACCTCAAATCTATATGGAAGTAAGTACAGGTCAGGAAACATCTTGAAATATACTGTCTTGACTCCTAATAACAACCCAACAACATAGTCCATGGTGACAATGAAGTTTATTCTGACAAGAAATGTACATACTGGTGGTCAAAAGCAAAACAACCATATAATCTCCAACTACAAAGTGATATGAGATACGGAGTATGGATTAATGCTGCTTTGAACAGTTATATCATGGCATGCTGGCATGACCTGAGAAAAGCTTGGAGTGATGCAGGCGCAAGACTTCCTCTCTTTCGTGAAGCCCTTGAGCACAGGTATGCCTTAGAAGAAAAGTGCAAACGTACTTGAACCAAGATCACAGGTTCCTGGAATGCCTAAGGGACAGAACTCTGCATAGCAAACTGCCGTGCCTTAAAATGGAGCTCCCACATCACTGAACTTACGTGGAACACATACAGATCATCTAGATATCCAAACTTACATTTCTTTAACATTGGAAAATATCCTTAGATCACTTTTAAAGTTGTCATATACAAATAGTTTGGTATTAGCTAATGTTGACATCATGATATCTCTATTATCTGTGGCATTGGCGGAGCCAGAAAACACACACCCCCACCCCCCAAAAAAAGAAAAAAAAATATTCCTGGATCCGCCCATGTTTCAGGCTGTGATGTAAGGATATTTTGAGAGCAAGCATTCAATGCATCTGTCGAGCCAGAACTTGTTTCAATTTGCCATTTCAAATCACATTGTTACTTTTGCAGCCAAACTGTCTCATTTTGGAAGTTTTGTTTCATTTTGTTAAATAAAGTAAAAAAACCCATCATATCTTGAACAAATATTTATATTTAATAAAGACACTGATATGATCTTACACTGAAGTCAAACTGATCTTATGCCATCTTCATTAACTGATCTGTATTTTAGATAATACATATTTTGTCATAGCATTCCTATTAACCTTAAGAATTAACATGTTGCTTTTTTTTTGCATTCAGTATTTAGTCAAACATTGTAATGTCAAACTTAAGTAAAAAGTCTTGAAGCTTGGTCCCCTCGTATTCCTTATTCAGTCATCTATTTACAGTTGTGTTGACCCTCGGATAACATAAATATTAATATATGTCCTTCAACAAAAAAGATTCTCACAGTATGTCCAAACCTGAACACTGTTTTACATCAACAGGGGTATAATAACACCATGCACAAGTCCAACATGTTGTACAAATAGAAAACTATGGTATATACAATGAAATATGTCAACATGAGAAAGGTAGTTAACACAACAAGTCCACACTGACAACAGGCACCAGGCCTTTCAAGCTGTATAATATCCTGAAACTGATCAAGAGAACCTTGTATAATAAATGATTGTGGATGATCCACCAAATAATAGGATTGTGTATGTTCTGTCTCTAATGCTTGAATACAAGCATAAAACTTGAATGAAATTGAACCAAATGGTCTTAAAACACAAACACTTGATATAAATATGGGTGCATATACATCCCTTCTAACTGAAGCATATTTGACAAATAAGTGAATTTCTTTTTTTTCTGCTATCCAGTCTTAATTACATTTATTTACTTACACACAATGCATAAGCAAGAAGAATATTATTTTTTGACACGTAAAACATTCTTGAAGAAAGACATCAACATGAAGGGTGAAGACAATCAGTTGTAATTTTCTTTAAACTATTCACCTACATGTTTACCTCGATTCAGAAATATTTGTTTTTCTGAGCAGACACAGAAGGCAAATAATATTTTGATGGCTTTCAGTATAAGTTTCAGCAGCTGTGCAAAACAACAGAGCGATCCAGTGAAGGACACTGAAGGATACCAAATGTCCCCTGCCTATTATTATGGAATAAATTCAATGTAACTCATAAGCATACTATCTTGTCATGTGAGTTAAACAAAACAAAGATATAGCTCAGGGTTCCACTCCACAAAGCTATCGAAGTGCTAAGGTGCAAATAACTCCCATCCCCAAACTTAGCTTACAGGTGATTAACACAAACAACTTCAGCTTCATGTTCAGCTCCGAAGAAAAAATAATACAAATAGAATAACGTGAAAGGTCTTAGCAAAATATAACCTTATGCATTTATCAACTGTCTACTAGAACAACTTAGATATCACATCTCACAGAAAAAAGCACCATTCCAAACTTACAGTTATGTATGTACAATTTTCATCATCCTGGCATCAAATTGAAACACTGTCAGAATAAATTTAAATAAGTATATGATTTCAGATTCAACATCAGGTTAGGGCAAATACCTGCACCTACCACAGTAACATGTTTAGTACTAGATGGCCATACCAAACATAATGTAACAACTGCACAGTATTTACATCCGACATTAAAACAACATGGTGAACTTCACATTCATCACAGTTAGTTGCACTCTCCATTGTCTCCTGATGATCTACATACCTCAAGATGGGCCACATACTATACAGGCTTGAATACAAACCCTCTTAGACCTACATACCCGTGAAGATCTGGGGTAGAATAGGTCTTCAGCAACCCATGTTTGCCACAAAAGGCGACTATGCTTGTCATAAGAGGCGACTAACAGGATCGGGTGGTCAGGCTCGCTGACTTGGTTGACACGTCATTGGTTCCCAATTGCACAGATCGATGCTCATGCTGTTGATCACTGGATTGTCTGGTCCAGACTCGATTATATACAGACCGCTGCTATATAGCTGGAATATTGCTGAGTGCAGCATAAAACTAAACTCACTCACTCACTCTTAGACCTACAGAATCCTGATAATCTGCATACATCAAGATGGACCACATACTATACAGGTTTGAATACAAACCTTCACAGACCCAAAGAATCCTGATAATCTACAAACATCAAAATGGGCCAAATACTATACAGGTTTGAATACAAACCCTCTTAGACCTACAGAATCCTGATAATCTGCATACCTCAAGATGGACCACATACTATACAGGTTTGAATACAAACCCTCACAGACCCAAAGAATCCTGATAATCTACAAACATCAAAATGGGCCACATACTATACAGGTTTGAATACAAACCCAGGGCTAGCTAAAATGATCAATAATCGGAAATATCGTTGATAGGAAAAATCATTAATGATTACCGATATGAAATTGTATTATCTATAATATCGTCAGGGCTCCAGATAATCTTTCATGATCAGGAGTACGTACTCCTTATTTTTTCAACATAGGAGTACTGGAAAACAATAAGAGTACATTTAGGGTACTGAATGGAATTTAATGGAGTATCAGTAATCTTGTGTTTCGTTTCATATATGCACCACAACATTGCTACTCTTGTGTAAACAGGTCAATAAACAATAAAACAATACCTTTTCAGATAAATACGTCTGTAAATGATTCTAGGACCGTACACCATTGCTGTGGTGCGTTTCTGCTACGTTTTCTGATTTATTTCCTACCGTATCATGCTTATTTTATATCCGTACATACGCCGATACGGCCCTTATCTGGAGCCCTGGGCCTAGATTTTCGAAGCTCTCTCAGCGCTAAGATAGTCGTAAGTTAATATTAGTGTATGGCACTTACGACTATCTTAGAGCTAAGAGAGGTTCTAAAATCTAGGCCCTGTATCGTACAATAACTATTCTGACCAGAAAAAGATTTCATTTTCTCACACAATAAACAAATAGAGGACTTTATTCTTCTGAAGTATACCCAGGGTACTGTTTTGTTAATAACCTATGCAAAAACATGTCAACACTCACCAATGATGTGAAACATATTCATTTCTTTCATAGGGATCGATAATCGTTAACTAAATATTGATCGATTATCAACAAATATCATAACTTAGAGCAAAAAAGCCCAAAAATTCTAAAAGAAATGAAGCAGACCATGAATAAAGTCTTATATTTGTATGTTGTGTGAGAAAATTATACCTGTTTCTGTCACAAAGTTAATGTATGATATTATCGAAAACTCTTTTCATATTGATAATCATAATTTTACATATGTTATCTAAATTGGCATTGTATGTTTCATTAATAATTTTACCCATCGACAACATTTCTGATTAGGAATCATTTTAACCAGCCCTAGTAAATGTCAGAAGTTCCTTATCATTCAGTACACATTACCCATTTACAGTGTTTATATAAAGACACAAAAACTATACAAGTCAATTCTTAAAAAGGAATCCTAACTGCCCTGCCATCTGTAAAGCAACCATGACTAATATTTCTGTATATTTACAAGAAATGTGCCACAACACTGTGGGTTTTGACATGGGCTAGAAGATCGTTCTTTGTCATAAATACTGACTCACAGAAACTACAGTCAAATGTGCCCAAATCTTTGTGATCAAATTTCATGTGATTGACCAAATCTACTTTGAAATCATATCTTCTTGAACACTGCTTACACTTCCATCTGGGAACAACCTTCATCTTTGAATCTTTCAGTTTGTCATGGACAGGCATGTGAGCCTTCAGCGCTTGTGCTGTCAGGAAACGGCATTTACAGAAGTCACACACAAACTGGGCATTGGTGAAATGTTTCTCTGCAAGATGGGCCTTCAGGTCAGCTACTTCAGAAAATGAACACAAACAGATGCCACACTTGCATGGCTCAAAGGGCTCACCCATGTGTCTTTTCATGTGGTGTCGTAGTTCCAGTTGACTTTTCAGTTCTTCTCCACACATTCCGCATTCGAACACTGTCTCCGCCTCTATGTCACCGTGTGTCTTGAGATGTTCTTGTAAATCTTTGTCATTCTTAAACTCTTCCACACAGAAGCTGCAAGTGAAAAGCACCTGTGACTTAGGATTTGGATTCGAGTGGTTGAGCAGGTGACACTCCAAATCAGAATACCTAAGATACGAGTTGTCACAGATTCCGCACATGAAAGGTTTCTCTTTGTGGTGAGACTTCATGTGACCTTGTAAAGCTGCTTCACGGGAAAACTCCTCAGTGCACAAGTCACACTTGTAGAGTCCATCTGAACTGGGAGTAGATGACGACTTAGAGGCAGATGATTGTTCAATCTTCACAATTGTTTCAGAACAAGCTTCAGATGAATGATTCTGCTCTTGAGCAGGAACTAATGTCAATGCAGTTGTTTGTTTGTCTGTGAAGACTGGCTTGTTTACTGCAACAAACTGCTTGATGTTAACTGTTTTAGACGCAGGGACTGCTGGGCCAAGCTTTGATATGGTTGAAGATGACACCAATGTAACTGGTCTTGGCGGCAAAGAGGTATCATATTTTACCTTTTTCTCATTGGACGACCAGATTCTGGTGGATGATGGAGTGGATGTTGATGCTGAAGAAAATGTTGATGTAGATGGTGATGATGCTGACGATGGTGTAGATGAAGATGGTGTTTTTGTTGATAATGTAGAAGGTGTTGTAGACTTACTTGATTTTGTTGATGAGGCAACAATGGCTGAAGCTGGGAGTTTGACTTTAACAACTGAAGCCTGAGGTGTAGAATAATCAGCACTGCTCCCAGGAAGCCCACTCAGTGACAGGTGATGGAGCTTCAGGTGGTTTGTCAGAGCAGGCTTATGGAGATACTCCTTGCCACAAATCTTACACTTGAAACCTTCAAAATCTGCATCAACAATACCAGATGTGCCATCTTCACAAATTCGGATCTTTTTCGCAGGAGGCTCAGCAATCTCAGACTCTGTCCTTGTTTTTGGAAGTGAAGGCTGTGATTTGCCAGTGATCATCTCCTCTTTTGGTTTAATGACTTCTTTTACCACTTTTTCAATCTTATCTTTCTTCCCTTCCTCACTTTTAGGTTCTTGCTCTGATGAACTGTCTCCATTTTTCATCATATTTGCAAACATCAGTATTTTACCAAGATTTGAAGCTGGCAAGGCACCTTCAGCTGACTTGGCTTCAACTCGCCATTCTTTCAGTTTCCCAGCGACATCAAAGACTATTTTGATGGTACTTGATTTCTCGGCTTTTGCTTTGGAACCAATATCTGCTGCAGCTTTGAACAAAGCTTTTGCAGCATCTGAAGACACCACCAAGTTCTTGGCCTTCTCACGATCCTCATCCGAAGTTCCATTCGTAGTTTTATTGACAACCCTATCAGAGACATTGGAACCTAAATTTGCAGTAGGCTCATCAGAACTGTTTGATCTTTCTACTTTGATAGGGATCTGTCCAGAACCAATATCTGGACTTTCTCCAGCACTCACTGTTTTAGATCTACTATCATGTTCTGTATCTTTCTCTTTCTTGATCTTTACCTTCAAAGAGAATTTGGGGGACTGTTTTGGAACTGGGACATTTCGCAGCATTTTTATGATCATCAGCCTGATCACAAATTCCGATCAAAGCTGACCTGAGTAATGATCCAGCATCCTTCTCTGTCTTGACTTTGACCTGAGTTTCCGCAAGGTCAGATTTGTTTAATGAGCTTGTGCGAGTTTGAATTCCGTAATCAAAATCATCATCCTCTTCTTCCTGTTTAACAATAATTACCTCCCCTTCTTCAGTTTGCAGCTTCATGGCGTATGGCTTATCTGTCTGGCTGACATCTTGACCGGGATCTTCAACTCCAGGTTCCACCTTGATGTTCACATTCTCCATCTTGAGACCTACAACAACAACATGAGTGATAACTGGCTCCTCTAATTGTGAGTTGACAAGACATTAGACTAACATCTAGTCGCTGAAATAAACATATTTTACAGAAAAAACACAGTTCCTAAATGACATGATATAAACAGATATAATGAAAAGGTGCCCTAAGACTTTTTTCATTTTCAGAAACTGAAACTCTGGAAATCTAGACTAGACATATTCTAGACTTGTATGGCAGGAGTGGAAATAACTTTATAATTGCTAATGTATTCGGTACAGTGGCACATGTAAAATCACTTGCTCTGAAAATTATTCCACTATACTGGCCGATTTCCTTGTTGATTTTTTAAATAAACAACATAATTAACATTGGAAAGTCAACTGGACACCGGTACAGCGTGACATACAAATTTGCTAGCCCGACAGAAAAAAACACTGGACTGGGGCGTCGGGCAATGGGTTATTTCCACCCCTGGTATGGGCTTTGTTGGATATATTTGTTTCAGGGTCTGTATGACAGAAAGAAATGTCAAATTCAATAATGTTACATTTACATGGAGATAACCCGCTAAGATGCCACGCTACTGTTTAACATTAACATGTTTAACTAAAAGTGGTCTCTTTTTACCCCAGTTAATTATTCAGAAAATATATTTGTGATTGTAGCAAGTACTCGACATAACTCATGCATGACATATTTGGAGGTTGGAGGGAATACTGACTTTTGGTCAGTGTTTGCAATACTTTAATTTGCCAGTTGGCCATCGGGCCGATTTAGGGCCTGCTGCCGCCTGCAGGTCTTAAAATCTCCAGGCCCTGAATGAAATCAGTTTGAATCAAACCGATAAAAGCAAAATAGACAACACTGTACACATTTACACTGTTTCTACAAAATCAATTAGCGAAGCCTATGGCGCTGAGAGAAGTTTTTACTTGTTAAAGGCTAGAGTTGACATTCCTACGCACAAGCCGCTGAAATACCAGAAAGTGAAACTGTAGTAGCGTAACATGATAGATCATGGATGATTCCCGAACGTTAATAAAGAAAAACAATATGGGAGCGATTCCACCTGAAAAACACAAAAACATTGACAAATAATTTACCGAAGCCCACAAGGATCTGCAAATATTTGAAACTGCTGGCCCGATACAATAACAACCGGCGTTGGCCTCCAGGCCTGAGATTATTTCGGACACTGCTTTTGGTCCCGAAATACAGGTTTAGGTCAATAACAAAATTAACAAACCACATATAAACATTGTACTATCCACAGTTGGCAGAATACTTAAACTACCCCTTTTTCATTTTAAAAATATTTTCACATCTTAATTCTTTGAAGTCAGCAACAGTCCAGCTATGTTCAGATGCCTGAAAAACAGTCTGGTACAGATCAACAAGGATTTGATACTATGGGCCGTCACATTAAATTCAGGGATGGCAACAGGAAAATCTATTTTCAGCTGAAAACTTAATATTGTGTCATCGAGTTGAGGGTTTCTCAATGGATTTAGACGATTCACAATTGAACAATTTGAAATAAAATCTGCGGATCAGCGGAAAATTGCCATCCCTGTAAATTCTACTGAAATTATCTGTAGGACAATTTGAATCTTTGCTGTTATGGTTGTTGTATTATACTACTATGTGTTCGTGATGGTTATCGCTCACTATATGCAGATCAATAATCAGAGCTCAGTAATTGATCAATCAATCAATAATCGATTGTAATCGTAAAACCCACCACGATACTCATCTGGGCAATCAGAGCTACAGATAACTTTTTGGGTCATTGAGTTATGTACTTGATTGTGTTTAACTCAATTGGGTATCCTAATTTTCCTTTGAGTAACCAAATAAATTGTACTCACCTCACTCAAACTCAATTTTGCCATTTTCCATTAATTTAATAAATATAATAAAGTTGAAATGTTAGTGTTTGTTGTTTATATTTGATCTGTAATATGAGAAACGATACGAAAGACTGCAAGTTGTCAAGTTAATTTCATCAAATAACACCTCTAAGTATACCTCAGTTAATTTATCTAACCACCGGTACACACACATTCACACATTTGTGTGTGTACACATGTAAAATCACATTTATTGAGTATTTACAAAAATTCAAGGGTACTTGTACGCAATAGACTTAATAGGAATTGAGTTTTCACACAAATATTTGCGTAATTTACGCAGATACGCGGCTTATCTGTACCGCTGGGGCAATAATGGGATAAAATCATAATATTGTGCAAATGAAACAGGCACCGAATACTACAATCGAGACAATCCTGGATACTTCCTGTTGAGACACACACACGAGTATGTTGTTTACATTGCCGTTTTATGAGTTGGGTAACACCACCAGTTTTTTATGCCTTGAATAAACAAACATAACAATAAGAAAAATATTTTCTTAAGTTTAATTTGATATTTCATTTTTTTTATAAATATCGATTAGTCTTCCAAGCCCATAGATAATCGCTGATGCACGTGAGATCGATCAATTGACTGATTATTCGATCAATCACTTCAGCACTACTATGTGAATAAGTAAAAATACACATGCTCAAAACTTCCCTGACCACTATTCTATGGCTTCAGCCAGGCTGTCTAACACTGCCACCCGGAACTAATTGGCTGCAGAGTGACGATTTGCTGACGCCAATGAACGTGACAAAAGACTAGGTTACCGTCTGTAAGGATGGAGTAATACACCTTTAGACAAAATTTATATGCAGTTCTGACTCTGTGTGTGTGTGTGAGAGAGAGAGAGAGAGAGAGAGAGAGAGAGAGAGAGAGAGAGAGAGAGATTTTGATGATGATGATGATGATGGGGGATCATATATATATTTGTACACATACATGGGTGGGTGGGTGAATGTCTGCGTGTGCGTGCTTGCGTGAGTGTGTACATAGAAATTTTCTAAAGTTATGCTTACAAATTAAGGGGATGGGTGGAAGGCCATTGATTCTGTACATGACCTGCAGGGGGTCACTTACTTTGTACGGTCCCTAATGTGGAACGGTCCCTAATGTGGAATTTTGAAAATTTTGATAAACAACAACGTAAATGTTAATCATTTTCCTCAACTAAACCAGACAGAAAGAATGAAGGAAGCCCATCATCCCCAGTGTTTGGAAATATCCCTGACAAGTAGTGTAACCTTATTCTTAAAACACTATCTTAACAGTGATAGTATTTTCAGATTTCTGATGCCTGGATGATAAGATGATTGAGACTGATTTGGATTCCTGTGTTTTGGAGTCTGATACTTAATCATGTTATGCAGTAAGGCAAAGTAAAACAATACAGATTTCCTGTAATGGAGGACATCAATTAAACCCCCTATTTCTGGCTAAAAAGGTCTGAAATGAATGAATATATTTCACATCACTGGCGACATGTTTATGCCTTGATTTCTAACAGAACAACATCCTGAACATAATTTAGAAGCAGCCCTTGAATAAAATGAAAACTTTGTGTATTGTGTGAGCAAATTTCATCTTAATTCTATCACAAAAGATTATGTATGATATTATCGATAACACAATTTTCAAATCGATAATCATTAATAACTTTCCTTATCTACGATGTTTCCGATTATCAATCTTTTCAGCCAGCCCTACCTACTTTACCCTTACTGTAATAAAAACAAACCATTAAGGTAATGTGTATGAACAATTAATCACTTTACATGATAGTACACTTACACAATATTTTGGCAACATTGAAGTTCCATTCACATTCTCAAAACAGCCACAACCCTCCAGGAAACAGAACTGCACACGATACAACAATACTTCCCCTTGTCATCCATGTTAGTAAAATCTACACCTGTTTATTTATCATCATCAACTGAGCTAATGAATTAATTACAGGAATAAGGATCTCATTTGACATTTTGCGTGTCTCAAAACTTACAAGTTCTGAGGTGAGGTGAGGTGAAATTGGATTTAACGTCGGGCTTGAGAATATTTCGCTCATATGACGACGTGCATGCGTGTGTGTGTGTATGTGCGGCTGCTTGTACTAGCCCACTGAGATACCATGTCGCAGTGAAGCATGGATACCCCACTCAGACACATTATACTGACTCCGAGCCGACCAGTCCTTGTTGTACCCATTAATGCCGAGCGCCAGGCAGGGACCAACAAGTACCATCTTTTAACGTCTTTTGGTATGATGCGGTCGGGGGATCGAACCCGCGACCTTCCGCTCTCCAGGCGGACGCTCTAACCACTACACCACGGAGGCGGTCTACAAGTTCTGATCTGATGTGGTGAATGCATTACATGTTATGTAATATGCATATGGAAGCACAGCAAGAAAGGAATTATCTGTTGATTTAAAAACATCAATCAAAGGATTATTAAACTGATACTGTTTTGATTGATTAATAACAGCAATCTTGTGACCAATGCACCAGTGAAGATCCAAGACAGAATTGTCATAGCAGGCGACTAACAGGGTCAGGTGGTCAGCCTCGCTGACTTGGTTGACATATGTCATCGCATCCCAATTGTGTAGATCGATGCTCATGATGTTGATGACTTATTGTCTGGTCCAGACTCGATTATCTACAGACTGCCGCAATACAGCAGATAATTATGCTGAATGCAGTGGTCAACAACCAACAGACTGAGGTCAAAATAACTAAAATGTACACTGGCTTCTGCTTTTTTTGTCAGTCCAAGCATGTTCAATCTCTCCAAATATTCCCAACTGATATGATAATAAACTAGATTAACACGTTGACTGCCTATCACGAGTATACTCGTAGTTTCGATTCTAGCCGAATACGCCACTACGAATTATCTGGTAGTGGCAAAATGGTTTTTGAAACAAGTGTCACATGTTGGCAACATAGGCACAAGAAACAAATGCCTCTTGGCATTCTTTGTTACCGCCAGGAGACAATTGCTTCTTGTGCCTGTTTTGCCAACATGTGAAACTTGTTTCAAAATACCATTGATATAGCTACGAGATAACTCGTAGTAGCAAATTCGGCCACACATTGATACTACGAGTATACACATTGTGGCAGTCAACGTGTTAACAAAGTGGGTGGCCTCTTTATAAAATAACTGAAACATTAAGACAACTTATGAATTCCCTGAGTGAAAATTTCAGTCATTTTACACACTGACTGTAACATATCTTCCGGATGCGACACCGGAAGATGCCTACATTTCCCTATTAGTTTCAAGCAGTAACTTTAATATTGTTGATCAATATCAGGTTACTCCTTTATACTCTTACATGCAGTTATGTTTGGCTCAGCATAACCAGCCAATATTTCTGGGATGCACAGAAAATAATATAACAATGGCAACAGCCTGACCCTGTAAATTGTAGCTTGGTGTCCTATTATACATACTTATTCAAAGTCATGAAGTCTCGCGAGAAGTCATTATAACCAGTAGGCAGGGCTCCAGATAATTTTTCATGATCAGGAGTACGTACTCCTTATTTATTCAATACAGGAGTCCTGGAAAACCTTAAGAGTACATTTAGAGTACTAAATGGAAATTAATGGACTATCAGTAATCTTGTGTTTCGTTTCATATATGCACCACAATATTGCTACTCTTGTGTAAACAGGTCAATAAACAATAAAACAAAACTTTTTTCAGATACATACGCCTATAAATGATTCTAAGACCGTACACCATTGCTGTGGTGCGTATCTGCTGTTTTCTAAATTATTTCCTACCGTATTGGGCATATTTTTTATCCATACATACGCCGATACGGCCCTTATCTGGAGCCCTGAGTAGGGCTGGCTAAAATGATCGATAATCGGAAATATTGTTGATAAGAAAAATTATTGATGATTATCGATTTGAAAATTGTGTTATCGATAATATCATACATGAATTTTTGTGACAGAAAAAAGTTTCCTCATATACAAATTTAGACTTTATTCATGGTCTACCTCTAAATCATGTTCAGTGTTGCTGTTTTGTTAAATATTCATGCAAAAAATAAGTCACAACTCAGAGGTGCTGTGATATATATTCATTTCTTTCCAACATTTTTGCTTAAAGTTACTCCTCCAATATTTCTTGATCATTGATCAATGTTTAGTTAACAATTACCGATCTCTGTGATCTATATTGATAGCCAACCCTAACTGCCAGGTCCAGTAAAGTGTGTAGGAAGTTTTGAGACTGTGAGGAACAATTATCTCCTAAGCTACTAATTGATTTGCTACCATTTTGAATCTGTAACTTTTCACACCTTATACTACTATGTTCTAGGGACCCAAACGCTCAAAACTATCAATGTGCACTTTCCTGTACCCACTCATAATATTATGAAAGTCTCAATAGGTTAGTTAATGCTCAAATATAGAGTCTGAGTGCATAAACACTAATAGTATCTTCCCACAACAATCCTATTAGCCTAAAATTCTGATGTGGTGCATGTTCTGTTACTATATAAAACTAGATACAGATCACTGTATTATGCTCATTAAAGTAGCCAGCATGAAACATAAAATTTAAAAGCAAATTATTCATCCGATCCACTGAGAAATTATCAAGGTCATTAATAGCTTGTTTTTGTTCATTAAATGGTCATATGCGTCAGCATAAAATATCCTGGGATATAACACCATATACAAAATACCATTTTAACACAAATGTGACCCAAACTGGTCAATGATAGTTTAAAACACATTTTACAACTGGCGATAATAACAGACCATCACAACATGCATGCATGACCGTCCACAGCCTCGATTTCGTTTTGCTTCCGCCATCAACGATTCGTTTTCGTGTTGTTTACAGGCATTTCACGCATGTTTTTAAGAAGCAGCGATAACGACGATACATTCCCCATGAATACTTTAAATCATTGGCTGACATACAGGCACATACATACCAGACAAAACACAATTAGGCTTCTATTTTTCGATTGCTTGTAGCGAGTTACAGAACCTGTTTCAGAACGTCATGGCGGTAACCTGCGAGTGTGAGAGTTACCTCCCTTGATGACTCCAGGGATCGTCTCAACATTTACAATGTTCATTAATCAGACTGAACAATGTGGTCAACATCATGTCGTCTTACTTAAACAGCTGAACAAATAAAGACCGCAACTTGCATCTTGAATTTTATTGTCTTCTTAATGATGATTACAAATAGAAATAATTCATTTGGTACAGTTGTAGAAGTCACTACACCCAACAAGTAACTTCTTAACGAAATATGTTTTTACTTTTTATGTTTGAACCTGCTCATGTGAATTATCGGTTAGTGTCAAGAAAGTGCAGTTCATTATTTAATACATTTTCTAATAAAAGAAAGGAAGGGAAACCAGATTATATCAAACCGTAACAAATTACAGCACCAGCGTAGTGTGTAAAATATATCTATATATATTTCGCAGTCCATATTAATGTTAATATTTCTTGTACGTTTGAGCGCTCCGAAATGCATGTACAACTGAATCGGCTGAGCCGCCCAGGTAATTTTCATAGTGAAATGTTAAGTGGAATCGATAAAGAACCGCGGAAAGGTTTTAGAGCTGCAGGAGTTACCGCCCTTGCTTAAGCTGGGCGCGTTTTCATGCAGGTGTTTCGGGGGTCAGGTGGAGGTTTCACCGTCTTAGAACTACGGGCTAGAAGGCAAGAAGATGTACAGGCCCTGAACAGTTTGTGTGTTGTTTAATGGAGTGTTTGTAATGTTAGGCGTGGGTTGTTAGGTCATTCTGTGGTGTTTGTAATCGTGCAGTGTAATAGGACATATTAGTTTGGGAACAGCAATCTGTTATTTCTCCTACCTCGTTTTTTATCTGAATTTGTGAGTCGACTTAATGTATTCATGAACAGAATTGGTATAGTTCACTTCAAAATGGCAGCAAATCTATGTTTTATTCTTACTTCAAAATTTCATTGTCCAGGGAATTGTATTTAAATGTGATTAACATTAAAAAGTTTAGAGTAGCACTCGCTCAGTTTAGATGTTTTTCACATCAGTTACGTATAGAAACTGGAAGGTATTATAATATTGATAGAAATGATAGATTATTTTTAACAGTGCGATGAAGGTTATATTGAGGATGAATACCATCTTCTCCTCGTGTGTTCCAAATTCCAACAGCTTCGCTTGAACCATTTACCTAAAACCTATTGTATCAATCCAAGTAAAGCCAACTTCAAACTCCTCATGTCATCATCAGATTGTAAACTTATAAATAACTTAGCTAGCTTTATCTATCATGCAATGTATCTAAGATGTTAAAAGTTATCATACTATACACACCATGTTTTGCCATGTAAATGTAACCTATGTAGTTATGGGCCGATGGCCTACACTTCTGTAATAAAGAATTGAATTGATAGTTTGTAGATATAATGTGGATCTAAAAAAAAAAAGAACAAAAAATGCACCTTTCAGGTGCACGCAGCTACCCCCCGTTGAGGGTGCGTCATCGAGTACTTGCGCTATCCGCCTATACGTGAACGTTTATTAAAAGCCACGTATCGTAGATAGATTGCAAAATCACCATCACAACACCCCTGCTAGACTAATGCTTAGTCTCCTAATAAACTCTGTCAAAAAAGAAACGCAACCCCTGTCCTCAGATATGAAAAATTCGTTTGAATGAAGTTATTGCTTCCAAACTAAATGTTATTCGAATGTATTGAAATTATACACGTAATTAATGAAGATTACCATCCAAAAAACTGCATTTGTACGCATAAGTGTATTTTATTGCTTATTCCGTCACAACGCATGAAATGACCCTCATGGTGACTTCGCACAAAAAAACCACATGCAAATCATGAAAATGGCAGTTAATGTAGGGGTGTATAAAAGCCCATGTGCTTTCGTATTATATTCATTCATTTGTCGCATGAAAAGCTGTGTGAAAAATGCCACGATTGAGTGCTGCCGACCGAAATATCGCCATTGGTCGTGTTTCGCCGGAGAAAGTTTTGGAACTGTTGCACGGCACCTAAATGTTCACAAAACAACGATATCCCGACTTTGGAGCCGCTACAACAACTTCAATTTGACCAACGATCGCCCGAGAAGTGGAAGGCCAAGAATCACGACCCCCCTTCAAGATCGGTACATCCGGGTCCATCACCTGCGTAATCGGCATGCCCTACCAACCGTGACTGCCACACAAATACCAGGTTTGAGGAGAGTGTCAGCTCAAACGATTAGGAACCGTCTGAAAGAAGCGGGTTTACGTGCCTGTAGACCAGTTGTTGGACCTGTACTACGCCCCCTACATCTCCGCCGACGACTCAGGTGGTGCAACAACGTAAGGATATGGACTTTACAAAACTGGAGGCGCATCTGGTTTTCTGATGAATCCTGTTTCTTTTGCAACATCACGACGGAAGAAAACGTGTGTATAGGAGACGTCATGAACGTTTTGCGCCCATCTGCGTCCGACAGGGGACAGATTTGGCGGAGAAAGCGTTATGGTTTGGGGATCCATCTCATACAACCAGAAATCAGACTTGGTGATCGTTGAAGGGAACCTGACAGCCCAACGTTACATCAACCACGTATTACAGCCTCACCTTCTCCCGATTATTGACCAACAGACACAGATTTTTCAACCAGACAACGCCCGGCCTCATACTGCACGCAACAATGAACTTTCTGCAGAATTCCAACGTCAATGTCTTGCCATAGCCCTCTAAATCACCAGACCTCAACCCTATTGAACACCTGTGGGATACTCTGGGTCGACGCGTACGTCAACGTCAGCCGCCGCCACAGACGCTGCAACAGCTCGGCGTTGCACTGCAGGAGGAGTGGAGAGCCATTCCCCAGGAAAGAATCCGGCGTCTTATCCGTTCTTGTCCAAGGAGATGCCGTGCAGTGATTGCAGCTCGTGGTGCTCATACGAGATACTGAGAAAGACGCCCCCCTGGTGACAAACTGGTGTCTGTGAGATGACTTTTGAAATGACAATTTTAAACATGCCCATCTTGGTTATTATTCTGCCAAATTTCAGACTTCTGTCTTAAATAATAAAAATGCTGTGTCGTCTTAAAACTTCAGATCAAAATCTCTAAAATACAGGGGTTGCGTTTCTTTTTTGACAGAGTTTATATATAATTTTGATGGTACCAAACAAGCTCATTTAAATTGAAAATGAGCCCCAGGGAGACCAGAGAACTGAACCTGAGGGAATCTAGACTTGCTTTATTTAGGGCTTTAGCACTGCAGAGAGGGCTTGGCGTATTCAGATGTGAGGTTGCGCCGATTAGGCTTGAAACTGGGCGCTATACGAACCTTCCCGTCAATGAGAGAGTGTGTTTTAACTGTACCGACTATGTGGATGATATACATGTTTTACTTTAATGTCCAGTTTATAATGACGTCCGTGAAGATCTTCTTACCTAAATGTAATGATGAGTGCCTGATTTTAATGTACAAAGTGATGTTGTTAAGCTATGTTTTATCCTGGCCAACCCAAGCGTTGTACATGTAAGTGCCAAAATCTGCAAAGCCATTTTAAATTTACGTAAATTTAATAACTTAATATACTTTTATGTGTACTTGACTTGAGACTATAATAAAACCATCTATCTGTCTTCTGTCTGTCTGTCCATTCACTAAAATAACGGACAGCAAGTCTATTAAGGGACCGTTCATAACTTATGGCTTTGGGGAGGGTGGGGAGAGTGATGATGACTTTTATAGGGGAGCATGTACAATGTGAATGACCCCCACCCCTAAAATGTATGTACAGAGTAACTGACCCCCTCTCTGCATGTCCCCTTCCCATATTTTTAAGCATAATTTGAACAATATTTTTATGTACAAACTTGCTGCCGCCCCCCCTCAACATGTGTACAAAATTGACCCACCCCCCCACACACACCTCCCCAGAACAATATAGGTGATCAACACCCCCCTTAAAATCATCATCATCCCCCTAGCCATAAATTATGAACGGTCCCTAAGAGGTTTCGCTTGAAATACCTTGCCGCCGCTCGAACTCACCACCTATCTCAACAGGCTGGTTCAGGTGAAGTTTTCTCGAAGTTTTGTCTGTTGTTTAACGCCGCATTGAGTGAGCAATGTTCCAGCTATCCTCTAAAACCGAAACAAAAGCATCTGTAATGGAAAACCAATCGTTTATAATGGAAACAAACCTCGCGTATCAGCTGCAAGAGCGCCCGAGTTCAGTTTTGAGGATTTGTTGTTTGTATGGTATGCCTGAGTAACAGTGACCCCCTCCTGCATGTCATGTACAAAATCAATATGTATCAACCAAGTCAGCGAGGCTGACCACCTGATCCCATTAGTCGCCTGCTACAAGCATGGGTTTTTGAAGACCAAATCTACCCAAGCGCTTCATGGGTCCGTCTACTCCACCATTGTTTCAGTTGTAAATGTTGTATGTATCTCGTACAATTCTTATTTCAAATTCAAAATGTGATCATTCAGTAAGTTTACAGTGGACGATATTCAACAGAGTTGTGTAGTTTGAAAATGACACAAATACTTGTAGTTTCAGGAGCTTTTCTCAGTGTTCAAGGGCGGTGGTGTAGCCTAGTGGTTAAAGCGTTCGCTCGTCACGCCGAAGACCCGGGTTCGATTCCTCACATGGGTACAATGTTTGAAGCCCATTTCGGGTGTCCCCCGCTGTGATAATGCTGGAATATTACTAATGGCGAGTATAACTAAATTCATTCACCCCATTAAGTTTCAGTTAAAACATCTACTTTGTCAAATATTTCATATATATCGCGTGCATTGTTCATAAATTTGACAATGAGAATTACCTTGCCTGATCATCACTCACCATCTCGAAGATATTGAGTGAGTGAGTGAGTATGGTTTTACGACGCTTTTAGCAATAATCCAGTAATATCACGGCAAGGAGCACCAGAAATAGGCTTCACATATTGTACCTATGTGGGGAATCGAACCCGGGTCTTCCGCAAGACGAGTCTACGCTTAAACACAAGGCTACCCTACCGCCCAGCCTCGAAGATAACTGTTGTAAGATATACTGGACAAAATAAGTTGGGGATATTGGTATTTTTAAGATTGATATTTTATCAGAGTGTCAATGAATAAATAGATCATTATTCATAATTTCAAAATTTACATATATCCCTAACTATTTTTTTCCAGTATTTATTTTGACGTTAGCTACCCAGCTTAGTTTGCTCTTGTATCATTTGATAAATTCAAACTGGATATGACGTGGATGGACACAAACGCACGCACGCACGCACGCTCGCAGACACACACGCGTACGTAAGCAGCACTTAGAGGGTATTTGTTTGCTGCGGGGCTCCGATTCTTTCAGATAATCCAGTGATAATCTAGTATTGTAAGCACTTTGGTGGGATATGGGTTATAACAAGGAGTTTATACATATATCAATTATTAAACCTTGAATACATTAACCATACAGTAATGCAATACAAATGAAATAACAACAAACTTACTAATACTATCATGGTCCTCAACAGTCATGTGTCGGTCAGCTGCTTGAAATCAGCTTTAGAGTATGGCCAAGAAAGCTTAAAGGTCACATGCAACGTAAACACAACTTTGCAGATTCTGATACCTTTCGGTATGGACATACCGAAACAAATCGTCAAAAATGCAAATTCAACTTATAAAGTTGAAAAATAACGCGATGAAAAAAACCGTGCGAAATCGGAGTTCAAACGTTTCACTAATTTTCCCCAGACTTTTCTGGGGAAAACGGGTTTCAACAGCTGGGCTGCGCTCATAGCACGTGCGCAAGTAAATAGGTTCGCGCAGCTTGGAAGCGGGTTGTCGGGTGAATACTCGGTGAAGGCTTTGGTGTGAGCTATTTTTTCTAATGTTTTGTTGATATCTCACAGGCGCGAGCTTTTTATATGTTATGACAGTAAATTAACTGTTTATATAATTTCATTTGTCTATTTCACCACACGATCTTCTTACCGAGACACTTTCTCAGTTCGATACTTAAAAGCAATGTCATTATTT